AGATAGATAGATACTTTATTGATCCCCGTAGGAGAAATTCAGGTGTCCAGCAGCAACAAAAATATAAAATTATCATTCTAAAAATCTAACAATAGTAATATTCAGCAACAGCTCTTCAGGTTACAGCAGCAGAGGTGGAGTAGCATCTCGATGGAGCAGGACAGGTCACACAAGCAGAGGTGGAGTAGCATCTCGATGGAGCAGGACAGGTCACACAAGCAGAGGTGGAGTAGCCTCTGGGTGGAGCAGGACAGGTCACAAGATGTAGCCAGTTGGTTTGGACCATTTTCTCTGCTCTAGTCCACAGTAAAATTCTAAATGCTTCATTAGCATCATTCAAAAAGTTAGCATTCCTCCAGTGGATTTTCTGCTGCGTCTGGACCAGTGTAAAAAACCATGAACACTCTACTGCAGCATTATCTCAGGTAGAAAAATGCAAGAAAAATAGAAATTGTAAAGCACAAAACAACAACTGTTTCAGAGCTACTTAGGATTTGCAGCAGTTTTCCAGCGCATTAAAAAGTTTAGTAATATGTGTGAGATGCATAATGTTAGCCGTTGCTATGGTGACATCTGGGGAGGTGTGTGCGTCACGTGAGCGCAGTACCTTTTGAAAATGGCAGACAGTGGCGTTCACGTGAGAAGTCGAGGGAATCTGGGGATCTATTTCGTTGATGACTGCTTTGGGGGTTATAGTGCATGTCTGCATCTGGCCAGTGTGTGTGTGTGTGTGTTGGTGTGTGTGCGTGCGTGCGTTTCGCATGAAAGCCACTTGTATTTAGCCTGGTCGTACCACACCATCGTACAAATTACATTTCGTACTAAGGTCTGGATTTGCTCCATTGAGCTCCATTAACAGGTGGGAGGTGTTCACTCCTTTTGCAGATTCAAATGATTGGATCGAAGTTTACTGTGACGTATGTAATGCGCCCGAGTGAGTTGCCAGCATTTAGACTAACTTTAGCATTTAGCCTAGCTCTAGCCATCTCCTTTGCCACTAACGAAGCCCGTGCGGAGTAGCACCACAATCTTTGCCAGTAATGACATTTGCTAAACATTCCTCGTGCTACAGCTTCAATTTCTTGATAGAACTAACGGATTACTTTACTATTGCATTTGCCGGCATTGTCAAACTACGACCAGCTAATTCGGCGCAAACTGGGATTCAACTAATGTAATTGTAGACACATGGACCAGACCCAGACAATACATGCACGGAAATGATTGACCGAAATTTACGGATGGCTAAGGCCAGACTTGGTTGTATTAAAAAGCACCTAAAAACGCAGTCATGAAGCGAAAGGACCTGGTCTCCACTAATTCAGCAGAGAAATAGGGCTGCAGTCGCTACATTATTATAACTAAGTTCTTGGCAGAAAAAGCCTGAAAGTTAACGATTGACTACAGGATTAGTAAAAATCGATCCACCACATCTCAATCAACATGCCCAGATTGACAGGCAAACGTGCATTTTGATAAATCACTCAACGTAGCCTGGACTTGGCAATTTATCCCCTTGACAAATGAAAGCACCGACTGTGAGCCTGATGCAAAATGGAATTCCTCAACCTCCTACTCCTCGTCACCCGCTAACCCCTCGGCTCCTTGTCCACGCCTCTAACACCCAGAAGGCATATATTATAGCCTTCACTGTATTGAGATGAGTTCCCAGTCGATACAGACACCACATTGGCATTGAAGGATGAATTTCGCAATGGGGTAAAATCCAATCTACGGCGGGCTTAATCACAAATATGTCTATTGTCCGGTATAATGCTTTTTGTTTTTGTTTTGCTCCAGTTCTCAATAGTCCAGTCTCTGCCCCGGCTTCCTGTGGCTCAGAAAATAGACTTTAAATCCGCTCTTGTTTGTTACAAGTCTCTCCATGGCCTAGCACCAAAGTACATTAGTGACATGTTAGTGACATTTGAATCAAGGAGGACTGAGGTGCACAGGGACTGGCCTCCTGCTGGGACTAGTCTAGCAACTCAAAGTGCTTAATCTAGTTAGTTAAACACTTTGCGTTGCCTTGTGTATGAACTGTGCCATACAAATAAACTTGCCTTTTTTCCCAATTCTTGTCTGTATACATGAAAAATTCACCAACGTCAGCATGCCCTTAACTGTGACTCACAATTCACATCTGCATGAACACTTAAGTCTAGGCCTAAATCCATGTTCAACACAACCACATCCTCTTCCATCCATTACCACAGATGCAATTTTCTTGAAATTACATGAAAAAATAACTTAAAATTACACAAATGCACGACTTTGGCTTGATTACCCTGCGTTTTCCCATTAAGTTTATGTGCGGATGTTGAAATACAGAAAGAAATGGCTGGAAAGGGGTCAAGCAACAGTCAAATAAATGTATTGGGGCATTTAGGGATATGGGAAGCAACTTGAAACGCAAATGTGATGATGAATGAAAAGGCAGGGTAACTGTTGGAACAATGACCTCATAATGTGAATGAATGAAAGATTTGGGACTCAATGACATCATCGCTACAGTTAAATTTAGACGTATTTATAGAACTCATAATTTCTTGTGGCTAAAATTTAATGTTGAAATTGCACAGATGTTAATGTGCTTCATGTGAAAGTGACCGCTACCTAAACTTGACTAAACAAAAGCTCTCTTTTGTGGCGCAAACGTGACAGTGCAGTGACTCACAGTCTCTGATCCTCAAAATAAACAGTAGAACAAGCCAATAACCAAAACGGACCGAACCCGTGTGGTTTGGTGCTCTGAGGTGGCTCTCCCCGTTTCAGATTTTAGATTAGAACTAGAACCACTGGTTTTAAAACACTGGGGCCTTGTATCAGTCCAATGATAAATATAAATATCCTGCAAAGCCATGGGAAATGGGGTAGAGTAGAGCCGAAAAGATCAGAGTAGACAAAAGTAGATCAGAGTAGATAAAAGTGGATAAAAGTATTTAAGTAAGTTTTATAAAGTAAGTTTATTTTTATTGCTTTTTTCTACCTGAGATGTTGCTGCAGTATAGTGTTAATGGTTTCACACTGGTCCAGATCGGAGCGGAGAGGATTCATGGTCCGTACCAAGCGGATCAAGTGAAATTCCACTGGAGGAATCCTAACTTTTTGAAAAATGCTAATGAAGCAGTCAATAACAATTGTAAAAAAAAGTTATAATAGTATCTAATTTTATGTTGTAATAAAGAAATAAAAATAACATATCTGAGTTTCACCTGTATGCGAGTTCAAAGAGATAAAAAAAAAAAAAAAAAAAAGGTAATGTTTATTGTCCATTTTCAAATAAAAAACTGCTCCTGGTTTATGGAAATCTGCTGTCACGTCTCGAAACAAATATCCTAAACTTGACTTGTGTGCGCCTCTCAATCCGAAGTAGCTAATTAAAGCAACATGACTTGGGATGCAATTCATAGTCTGAAAACACAACAAAGTAATAAATGGAGAAAGCAATATAACCTCAACCATAAAATCTAACTGGAAACACATGAATTATGAAATATTAACAAAGAGAGGACACTTACAGGAAATGTTTGTGTTTGTGGGAATAAGCAGCATCTCTTTCTCATTAACAAGTGCAGGGTCATGCGGTGGAAGCACGTTCAGATAACAGTCCTCTTTGGTCCGCAGCCATTCGTCTTTTTGTATCTTTGTAAATCATGGCTTAAGGCAGAGGCCGCGGTGATCGGCTCAGTCAGAATTCTGAACAAATGGAAGTTTTCCCGAGCGACCGCGAATGCCGTTCACATCTTGAAATCATAAATCCCAAATCCATAGCGTTCCTAGTCTAAAGACGCAGAGATGACTCCTTAGCGTGATGGATGACGCTAGCTGTGGAGTAAAGGGGACGTGTGTGGATTTCGGACGGTTCCAGGATGAGGGGAATAATGGAGTGACAGAAAGAATGTAATCAATATCGTGATGGTTTTTCTGTTGTATACGTCGACTGTACAACCTTAACTAAGTTCAATTCATCAATAACAAATGTGAGCCGCCAGCTGAAACCAAGCCACAAATCGTGAGGGAGAATTTCACACAAATCCACCAAGATTTTCTTTTCAAATGTTATGATTGTTTTTTCCCAGCATGATAAAGGTAAGACTAGCCGTAACATTGCAGAAAACATTATGGGTTTAGCAGTAATACACATAGTACAATTGTAAGCAAAATTAACCGTATGCAAACTACATATTTATAATCTGGAGATTAAGATGTTATTACGTTATCTGAGGCCAGATTTTAGCTGCCTGAATCCAAAACTGACTCCATGTTTAGTTATGACTCTGGTTTTATGTACTTGTCTGGTGAAGACTGGGGACTTTAGCGTTTGTATTCTAATGTGGTTTTACTGCAAAGGGCAAATATAGTGAATCTGAATCTTGATTTGTCTTGTGCATTAACTGTAGCTAATACACAATAATAGTCCTCATTAGCTCTATTTTACAGTGTATGCAAGGCTTTTTACAGCTGCAGCAGCGTTCAGACCTACATCCAACAGGTTTAATACCTCTGGTCTCTCACTTCAGTAGTCATGAGTTCAGGTGGTTGAAAAGTGTATAAAGCATGAGGGTTTCTACAGCCTTAAAACGTAAAGCTGCTACCTCAAGGATTTTACTTATTGTGGGTTATTTTGAGATAAACCAAGGTCCACTGAAATCCATGTGGTTAAAAAAATGACATCTAACGAGAAATCCAACTAAAAGAAATCTAACTAGTTCCTTGCTCTCCAAACGTTCTCTAGTTTATGTCCCTTTAAGAGTAAGCCAGCCGTCTATGTACTGTATGTAAAAGACAGGTGTTGTCTGATTTCACAATATTTAACTTTTCACAAGACTTTCTGTTGGGACAAACAAAATCTGTCCATAAAAACAATAGATACATAGGTAGAGCAGCTTTAATGCTTGCTCTGGTTTGAACTTTGCTTGAACTTTTTCTGCAGAATGTGATCAACAACTGAAGTATACATGTTAAAACAAGGTCTATGAAGGAGACCGCAGACTTACCCATGGTGTCCAGGACAAAGTGGTTCTGAGTGACGGTCAGAGGAGGTTGCACGGTCACAGTCAGTCTGGGACCCTGTACCACACTATTGGACTTCAGTTTCAGCTGCATCACAGAGCCATAAGACGTGAACAAATGGTCATAACTACATGAAATGAACAAAACAAACGTTAAACGTACCTGTACAGTTACTGAGGGCACCGGTAACCCATCAATATCTTGGATATGAGCTTGCTAAAATAAACAGAGATAGGTTTTTATTTGAATTATTACAAGCCCCCTTTGTGGATCTTGTGGCGTTCCAGACTCACTGATGGGTTGTCCATATTCTTTGATATAACAGCTGTCACAGTGAGGTCTTCCTGAGTGTCCCCTTTTGGTAGGATATCTGCCAATGAAAAGTTTTATGTTATCAGCAATAGTTATCTCGGAGGACTTACAATACAATTGTTGAATTTGCGAACACAGATCAGAGAACCAAACGGTTCGAACATAAGAAATGCAACCAGAGACAAAATACATTTGTATTAGTTCATAAGGGGCAGAAAACCAATGTCCATAAATGTTGGTAAATGTCCATAAATGTTGTTGAATGTTGAGTGTTCTGGATCATCACCACTGTCCTTATGTTAGACACTCCTGAGAAGGAGGCCCCAGTAAAGGAAAAACTATAAAACCCAGTGGGAAAAGATAAGAATCCTCGAGGAGAACCACATTGAGAGTGCGATCCGCTTCCACGGACAGACTATAGATCCAGAACTCAGGCTACAGAACGAGGACCAAGGCCATGCCGTGCAGGACTCAGGCTACATTTTGATACTCCTGTTTTAAACATACCACCTCTCTCTGTGCGTCTCAAAGTCTGCATAAAATTACTGTATTCTATTCATTCATTTTATCTACGTATTTCAAACCTTTTTTTTGCACATATCAATATACCAGAAGAATAACTAGTACCTGGTTCGAAAAGATCAGGTGTGTGAGGGTTTCAAAATGATGAGACATGAGGCTAGTACTGATGCTGATGGACAGTACCTTGGGTCCTGGAGGCTTCCCTGATGTACTTCTGCAGCCTCTTCAGTTCGGCGTCCAGCTTCTCGTAGTCCACATCGCGGGATTCGACTTTGGGCGTTGAGTAGAACGAGGGGTCTGTGCCCATGTAGGAGCACAAGAGGAGTCCTTCTGAACTCAAGGACACCACAACACCTTTCAGATCCCTGGAACACACAAAACAAAGAAATACAGAAGACAGATAAAGGAATGTATTTATAAAAGGTGCAACTACAACAGGTCCAGCTTTTAGCAAAATGTTTGACTGCCAGATAACGAGAAAACACCAAAAACTTTAAAACTGGTTTGATTCCTCTGGTTTGTTTGTTTCTCGCTGGTTTCTTCCTTGGCAGAACGATCTGGAGCAGAGATCTATCTCCAACTTACTGCTTGAGAGCTACCAGTATCTTACAAACCCATTCCAGGTAGCTCCCAAAAGGATTTAGAAATAACCTATATATGCTGAATATTGCTGAATGTATGATTTTGGGCGGCATGGTGGCTTTCTCAGTGGAGTTTTTATGTTCTCCCCGTGTCTGCCTAGATTTCCTCCAGGTGCTCCGGTTTCCCCTACCACTAAAAACATGTACAATAGTTCTGGCAAGCATCTCCTGTACGACGACCTCGCTCCTATTGCTGTGTGGAGTGGGAGGCAAATGCCCACAACAATTGTAAAGCGCTTTGTGAGTCTGGTCTGTGAATGGCGCAAAATATATATATAAAGATTACTTACCCACTACTTACTTAAATGCCCTCAACTACTGCAAATGCACTTAATAATGATAAATGACTGTTGATAGCATATCTAAAGATTACGCTCACCAAAATAACCAATAATTTTCCTGCCGGGCCCCTTAAAGGAGTAGCTCTGTCATTTTCTTTCTGAAGAAGTTGAAAGATTGGAGACTTTGATCTGGATAAATGTAGATTAAACTTGATTATCAGAGGGTCGTCTGTAAATATCACAATGTAAAGAAGCTGTCTATAACTTGCTAAACACCTGGGCATACTGTACGTCCACATATGTTGTTTACGCACTTGGTATGTGAGGGTAAATCCAGAATGCAGTTTTTTGGTCATTCTTTAAGACCCTGTCTGAACATCCTAGTATTTCTCAAAGTGTGGCGGGCAGAAGAAGTTCCCAGGGGTTTTGATGTTTTTTACTTGTTTTTTTTTTTTTTTTTTGGAATGTTAAAAAACTAGAATAGCTCAATATACAAGAAAAAAGACACTTAAAAATAATATGCAAACATGAATACAAGTTTATCGCTGTGTTGAAAACTACAAAATGTGTAAAATACCAACATAACAAGCTCATCCTTAAAGAGTAACCGATGTGTTACCTTTGTGTTATTGTGTAGATTTGTGTCTTTCTGTTATTTTTATTATATATTTATTTTCTATGTGTGGATATAATCAGGGTTCTTGCTTTGGGGAAAAAAATACAGCCATGATGCAAATTCAACTTTATCTATTTTTTTGAATTTTGCTGTGGGAAAGTTGATTGCTGTTCATGTAGAAGAACTTTTTAAATGACCAAATGCACTGGGGGTAGGAAAGTTTATACCTCTCTTTTTTCTTGGTACAACCAGTGGGGGCGGGTCCCAGCTCAAAAGTGGCCAAAATGACGTGCGCTGACATGCTGCAATACCACTCCGGGCCGATGGGGGTGGACCCAGAAGAAGAATTAGCCAATGCTAACATATAGCATTGGCAGACCTCTCAAAAACGTCTTTACAGGATGGACCAAAAGTTGGCTCTTGGCCCAAAGCTCCGTTCCACATGTGTGTCAATGCTGAGGGGAGTGGATTTTTTTGGTCCACTCTAGTTTACTTGCTGTGAATTTTTGAAGTCTCTCGTTCAAATGAATGGAGCTCTCGCCGGCTGATGCATGCGCAGATGCGTTTTTTCACAATTTTCTTGTGGGCGGGACCACTTGCGGCCATTTTGGATTGCTCCAGTAGAGCCAATTTTTTGGTCCATTAGTTAGAACGGCGGAGATAGGCGTGACTATTTTGATTTGATTATAACCGCAACAATCCTAAAAGTAAATGCCTAGAAAAAGAAGAAATGTCATGATAATGATAATGTTGTAGTACTTTTGTTTTTATCTCTCCCATGCTTTCCTATCTCGCGCAGCACAGGCAATTATCACTGCAGACAATATTGAAACAGACACAGAATGCGAGGAAATGCTGAGTGATGCAATGTGTTTAAAGTAGGAGCGTTCTTTAAGTGGTTACAGATGTGTTATGGTTCCAGGCCAGCGAGTCCATGGTGTGAGAGAGAAACCAGCCACGAGCCCCACACCTGCGCAGAGGGGTGTCCGGAGTGGCATAAAACCTTCACAGATAGCACAGGAAACTCGATCCTTTTGCTAAATATCATAAATTGTCCACTTAAGACCACTTCCCATCAATGAGAGATGTTGTTTTCACACGAGAAGTGGTAACTGTTATTAACAAGCTTTCCATTGTATTCTGAGGGTCATTTCCAGGCTCTTTGGTTCACGTTCTGGCTTCCAACTGGGTTAGTAGCGTCGGGCAAAGCTCTGAGTCAATGAAATAAACAGTTCAAAGAGAGATATATTGTTTTTAGATCCATCCAATTCCACGCTAATATCAGGCACTAAGATGTAGGAGCGCCAAAACACAAATAATTGTTGCGTATGTTTGTTTGTTTTTTAACGCCTATTATTCTTTTTTATTATAGGCCTTGCTTTACCGAATAGTTGAGATGTAGCTTGATGGTAAAAACCAAGTGAGATGTCCCAAAGAGGTATATTTCAGTTCCAAGCTGCTTAAAGTAGATACATTTACTCAAAAGGTGATCTACAAATTGTTCTGAAAGCATTAAAGGGTAGAGCCAAAAAACAATCGCCATTCAAGCTGCATATGGAGACACATTTTTGCTGGGAGAAGTATGGTCGATTGAGTAATATCCTCTCCACTTTATCTGTCATCGATTACACTTCAGCTGTAGTCTGTTCATTGCTATTCACCACCTGTCTGTTTCATGCCGTGATGATGGGACCCCTGAACCCGGCCTGGGTCCTCCACCGCAAAGCCTCAGTCCTAGATCTACAGCCTGTCAGTCCGTGGGAGCGGCCTACCCAAGGTTTTCCACTATTTTCCCCATTCTTTTTCCCACTGTTTTTTTCTTTTGAGTCGTAACTTGTTGATGCAGGAGGGTCTATGGACAGTGACTATCTCAGGACATTTATGTACATTTATGGATAGTGGTCATCCTGCTCGCTATGAACCAACAGCTATGTGTTTGCTATTATTGCATTTCCTTCCATCTAAAAGCTCCTGTCTCAGTCCTAAAATAGTATGATGTAATAATATCACTATAACATCAGAGGGGGGGGGGGGGTTGGTTTTATATATTGTATTATTCCAAATTTGAAAATGTTCCAGCTGCAAATGAGATTGTCATTTGCGAAATTACCATAACTCGTTTATGGGCAATTACATCATACTAGATAAGATTTTAAAAGGGGAGGAGTTACATGTTTGTTGACAAAAATCCTGTATTAGTATATATTTCATATCTTGAAGGGAACAACTATTGTTTGAGTCACTCATTCAGTTTCCCATTACAAGTTCACATAATTGGAATATCAGGCATTTGATTGGTTAATATTTTATCAACACGTGAAAAGTCAGAGTTCATAGCAAGAAACTGTTCAAACTTGTCAAATGTCCAACCGTCCTAAATCTCTCCTTGTATAAAATGAAAAATCTCCGGGTTCATATCCTTACATTGGCGTATGTAATGTAGACATCTGGCCCAAATTGATTAAAAAGGACATAAATTGGTGGGTTGTTACCAGATATTAACCGCACTCCTTCCCATAAACAGACTTTACTTAGGCGGGCCGCCCAGGTGTACCTTTGGCTGCCAATACACATTTGGCAGAGCACTTCAGAGTGTCGAGAGTTTCCCATACGAGGATTTATTTGTGACAGCGCTCCGGACAAACGTATTGACAAGCAGGCGAGTCGTGAAAATCCCCACCTCTTTACACGCGCTCTGGATCGGATCACAAATCACAGGATCGGCGCCTGCTGTTGGCTATTCCCAGCAGCAAGGACAGCTGAGTTTACAAATGGCACGTTTCAGGAACACCTTTGAGCTAGTTTCCCCGAAACGAAACAATGAATTCAAGGAAAGATTGTGTTAAAATGTTATTATTAGGTCATATGCTAATATTGACAGATAGGAGTTTCATGATGGAAAATAATAATCTTGTAATTGATGCAAACACAGCTGGTCTCGTCTCTTCTATTTCTCGCTCTCTCTGCTTCAAACTGGAAAGGTGAAAAAGACAGAGTGCAACAAGAAAAATTGGAAAAGTAACTTAATCTTTGGCACTTAAAATCCTGTCAGAGTAAGCCATTTCAGTCCTTAGTAGATAAATGATAATAGTTTAACTTCTGGAAAGATATGAAAGTGTAGATAGCTCAACTTTGACTCTCTGTCCCGTTGTCTGTTTCATGGTGTTATGATGGGACCCCTGAACCCGGCTTACATCTGGGCCTGTCTGTATGTCTGTCAGCAGATCCCTCTCTCCATATTGGCCTCCCCGAGGTTCCTCACTCTTTTTTTAAATGTTCCTCACTGATGCAGGAGGATCTAAGGACAGTGATGATCCAGGACATTGATGGATATGTACGGACATTGGTCATCCTGCTTTTCTACGGACCAATGGCCACAGGGTTTTGCAATTAGAAAGAGCACCCCCTAAGCCCAGTTATCACCTATTTGTTCACCTGATTTGAGTGAAACTTTATACATTAGTAGCATATAGAATTACCACATAAGCATAGCAGATTCATATACTGCAGGTCAGGCATACCCAAACTCAGGCCTGTGGGCCAATTGTGGCCCTCTGTGCCATTTTATGTGGCCCTCTGCTGACAACGCAGAGTCACCATTGAGGCGCTTTGACATTGTCATCCAACCAACTTCAGCTCCACCAAACAGTCATGTCACCAAACATGCTATGCCTTGTTGTAAATCTGAGACCCTCTGGAATCCAGTCAATGACTCTATTGCTATATACTGCGTTTTCTGATTGTGTCACGCAAAATTCCAAATAAAATGCAGCTGTGGTGTGAATCAATAAGGACGTATCATAACATATTATATATTACAGAATCCAGTCAATCCAGCTCAAATCCAGTTTTTTAAATCCAGGTGGCCCCCAGGTCAAGTCTGATGAACTAAAATGGCCCTCTTACAAAAAAGTTTGGACACCCCTGATATAGGTACTGGGACACTGGTATCTGTTACAATTTGGACTATTGCATGAAAATCTAGGTATAGCTTTTATTATAAAAGCATAAAAACAATACACACACAGTTTATTCCCATCGTTACATCGTTTATAACATTCAGCCAGGATAGCTAAATGCATGTACGGTGTATTTTTGCTGGGTCCTCTCCCACACTGCCATGGCAAGGCCGCGATGACTATCAACAACTTTAGAACAACATTGCCTTGGCCTAAACCAAACAACATGCCAGACCACTACTATCTGCAGCATCTAAAGCACACACAGGAAACCGCATCATTTTTCACCCGTGTTTGTCTACTGTCCCTTAATTGTATCAAATTGTGGTGTGATTGCAGAGGCATGGGAGGGAGAGGGATGAAAAGATTGCCCCTCCTTGCTGATCATTGATTAGCCAGCTGGGAAGAATTGTGGGTTTATTACCTAATAGTTATTTAGTGGATTTCACACGCTGATACACCCTCAACTCCCAGCTATTATTTTATGTTTATGTCAAGTGCAGTTATACGAATGGAAATGTCTTATTCATGGTAAATGTTGATTTTGCATCAATCAGAGCCTCAAAGGGAAATATTTAAGCCAAAGAGACATTATACAGTATGCCTAATCTAGTTTTTTGAGCTTCTAATCATGTTACAATTTTCCTCATCAAACACAGACCTGGAGTAGTTTTTACTGTAGATCCATCCACACTAATGTACACAGGCACTTTTGGCACAAACAAGTAACTCCGCCTCTTCTGTCTAAAGCTTCTGTCATGAGATTTCGGAAGCTTAATATCAAAGTAAATTTCCGACTTCCCAAAACCAGAGCGTTCATGGGGGCAGCTGACAACAACAAAACAGAAATGTGCAGAAATGTAACTGATTCTCTGAGAAAGGCACTGATACCTTCTGTGTTATTGCGTAACATCTATTGTGTGTCAACTTGTACATATAGTAGCAATTTTAAGAGATGTTCTATTTTTAGTGTTTTAACTTGTTTGCACCGAGAGCCAAAGCAATTTCCTTTTTACACACAACGGCAATACAAAAATGATTGTGATTATGATTCTGTATTATGAGAGTAAATATGTACTGGAAAGACACTTCATCCACATTGCCTAGAATGACTCTGGTGTGTGTGTGACTGGTTGGTGCAGGTTATACTGGTTGCCTCGCTTCTGTCAGTGTGCCCCAGGGCAGCTGTGGCGACAATAGCAGTTTGTTATCACCATGTTTGGAGAGAATGAAGATTGACATGTGAAGCGTCTTTGCCCAAACTAGCGCTGTATAAAACCAATGTATAATAATGTAGTCTGTCTGTGTCTTGTCTGTCTATGTCTGGTCTGTTTAATATTCTTGGTTGTCCACCTACTTTTGTTATGACTTTTCTATTGACTGATGCTGCATGATTTTTATTTTTTTCTATTTTATTTTTTTATGTTGCAGAGAACATTTTTGTAGTTTTTTGGCTGTAGCTGGGGCATCTTTTTTTTTCCTTGTTTTGAATGGTCCTTGCCATCTGCCATGAGTTGTCAGACCTTGAAAGAATGCAAATGAAGACAATTATATATAAAAAAACAAAAACTATGTGTTATTATTATTATTGTAGAAAATGTTCAAATTCAGAATAAACGCTTTTAGCAAAATGATAAGTTTACATTTGTGAAATCGTGAAATGTTTGATTCTAACCTGCCAACGTTTCCCTCATATGTAATATATTCTAGACTGGGATTAAGTACAGTATGGCACCGCTGTTTGAGAAGCACTGGGACCCAAAAAGGATATTATAATCTTAATAAAAAGAGAGTCGCCACAAACTCACAGTAATCAAGACCAAGAGACGAACACATAAACCCAGAATGTTTTATGTATGTATTATGTATTATTTTTCTCTTTTCTTTTCATCACTTACGGGAAGCTGGCGACGCGGACAGCAACGGGCACGAATGGTAACTGCGAAGCCCACTTCAGAGTGACGTCCTGGTACACCAGCAGCATGTTGGTGTGGTTCCCTAGCAACAGGTTCGTTGTGCCATCCGTCACTGAACAGGGAGAAGAAACAGGAAATGAGTGTGAGAGATCAGGATTGTGAAATTAACATATCAATATTCATCTTCAGATACCCGCATTTGTGTACATTGACTTGAATGATAAAACTTACAATAGAAACACTAATAGAAATAAATAAACTTGACTAATGGTCCATGTTAACAGTGAATAGTAAATATATATCTTGGAGATCTGTAAAATACTATATCTGGCAACTTGGCTTCCATTACATAATAAAAAGTACATAACACATTGGAACCGCCCCAGTACAATTTAGTTACATTCATATTAAATTAAAAAACAGTGTGGAAAAAAATACAATATTTATACCACTCCTTAGATACATGTAAATACTAAGTAAGGATTATTTATTAATTCATCTCATATGGAAATGGCAATCACAATACGAACCATTTGCACTGACTTTAAACCTCATAGAAAACATAATTTCTAACACCTGTTCTTAAGAAGTACATACTTTTATGATGGGGATAAAAAATGGGTTTGAAATGCAAATATTGAGAGATTTTTGAAAGGAAAATCCCTCATTTCTCTTCTTTCATGAATCTGTCGTCTTAGATTTAGAAATTTCAATAATATTCCGCAACATGTGCAACACGCCCTGTTTTCAGCAACAGTTTGTGACATCTGCTGATGACATTGAGTCCGTCTTTTGTTTCAGGTCGGTGAGAAGAGTTCCACAGTCTGAATCTAATAAGACGGTCTGAACTCTGTAACTATACTGTCCACCACTGATAAAGGCTCATGGAGTTTGGATTCACAGGCTCCGGACGTCAGACTGGCTAATTACAGAACGGTTATACAAGACAAACAGCAAAAGTTTTGAGAAGTGTCATGGTTTCCCGTTTTATTCTGTATTGTCTGTTCTGTGTCTTCTTGAGTTTTACTTCCTGTGCTGTTGATTGCCCCGCCCTGATGTGTACATTTCCTGAGCTCTTTCCCTCAATGGTGTCAGTCCATTGAGTGTTTGTTCCGTGGTTCTTCTCATCACCCTCAGTTCCCGTGTTTTATTTATTATTTATTTATACGGACGGCTAGAGAACAACTAAAAGTCAGCATAATTAAAGAAAAATGAAGTACGTAAAACAAACAACCAATATTTACAGTGTGATCGTCTGCCTATAAGTCCGTCTGAAAACTCAACATTTAGTTGAGTTTTCAACTAAGTTCTTGTTGGAAGGCCATCATGTTATGTCACAATATAATTCTACATCGTTAAAGTTCAGCCAAATCAAAAAGTACGGCTAAAACATGGACCATCCCATTCACTGACCGCATGTATGGAGGCTATGCTAGCTTCTCCAAGCACAGAACATATCCAATACTGCATATCTACTTTCTCCATAAACTTGTAAAACACTTAATATAAATACTACTTCCATACCACCAGTGGAGCAGCTTTACCACCAACGGAGATCTGAGGGGCTGGCCACACGCAAAACAAACATGTCCGACGTGGAATATATGGTATTATATAGTAGGCAAAGGGTGGTCAGCTGGGTGGTACACAGTAGGGGTCAAAATGACAGAGCGTACGTCTTCACCACATGAAAGCAAACATACACCTTCCCTCTTCCACACCGTTATAATTACAATCTAATTACAATGGCCTTGCTTTGAGAGTGTGTCTAAAATATCACCGCTTTTCTTGTTAGCCTTGCCCAGTTACTATTTATATGTTGTCATCTACGGCTACACACCCTCTATTAACCTGGGTAATATTTCAAATCCTTTTATTTTCCTTTGCTTCCTTCAAAATTTATGGGCCTTTCAATTCTAACATGTCGTTAAAAAAGGGCAGAGATAAATGGCTGTAGTAAAGGCCATGATTCAGAACAAGAGAGGTTAGGAAATGCACGGGAGAGTGTAATCTATACCTGTCAAAGCTTAGGCCTGTGGGCCAAACGCAGCTCATGGGAACTTCACTTTTATCTAGCCAGCACAAACATTTGAAAGGTTAATATGTTGGCTGGAGAAGATTGGAACAGGTGCTATGTTTAAAAAAGAAGAAGGAGAAAGTAAGCAAGTAATCATTATTTATTTAGCGCGTTTCACAGACCAGAGTCTCAAAGGGCTTTACTCTTATTGTGGGCGTTTGTCTCTCACTCCACACAGAGCATGCCAGACCTTTTGTACATGTATTTAGTGGTAGGGGAAACTGGAGGACCCGGAGGAAACCTACGCAGACATGGGGGGAGAACATGTAAACTCCACACAGAAAGGCCTGGCGTTGGGATCAAACTCAGGATCTTCTTGCTGTGAAACACAAGCGCTAACCACTGCTCCACAGAGAAATTCTTGAGGAACTAAATGTTGTAAAATGAACCTAACTGAGACATTTTCAAGGTTTATATTGTAATGTATACGTTGCCAGTTATAGAAGGATGTACTGTATACAAGTTTTGTCTATGTCATTACAACACAAAAAACTAGTACAATAATCATAACTCATGAAAAAGTTAAATATTGGAGGAACTTATTATCCTGCCCTATAAGTATATAACTTTGCACTATGAATATATAAATACATATATATTAGGTATAGAGATATATTGATATAGATGCATTAAAGTTAGCTAATAAACATAGCAGCAACGTATTTTGTGTACTTACTACTGTCCTGCATGTGCGCTGCAAAACTGAAATTTCCACAATGGGGAACAAATAAAGGATTTCTTATCTTCATTAATCTTAACTTAATATGTGTGTAAATAAATGAGATTTTACCACGTCATTCCCATGGATCTATTATAATAACTGGATAGGGTATTACAAGCTTGGAGCTGAAGAACCCATGTGCTCGGGGGATTCTCGCGGTACTGCAGACCAAACCAGACTAAATTCATGTGGACTACCCAGAAACCTACAGCTCTCGATCGAATTTTGTGGGGATATTAGTGTCCCTTGTAATCCTGAACTTTTTTTTCCTTCTTAAATCCTTCAGTTTTTTTAAAATCCACACATTAGTGCAACAAACTCTGCTGGTTTGGCTCCCGCTCTAACTCCGCTCTGATTAGTAGCGCTGATTTGTCAGAGCGCGGTCGAGCCCCTCTGTGCACGTGCATGAGAGTGCAACGCAACGCATGGCGCAACGCATCATGGGCACTCATCAACTGAGCAGAACCGGGAGGACCAGACGAGGCCCAAATATAGGAGAGTTCCGCTAATATGTCAGCGCCCATGCCGGCATATGCGCCACTGAGCACAAACCATTCATTTGAACACAGAGCCATCTTGGATCGTCGGGGCATGGCCATAACCTTCTAAGCCTTAAACATAAAGAATGAATATATTATTTTTTTCCATTAAATCCTGTTAGTTCTGTTGAAATGCACTGCAGCACTTCTGGTTCCATTTGATGAAATCGCTGAGTTGTGCTGTCAGGAGGCTTTATTGAAGTTGCATGTGGCAGCGTTTACGTTCAGTGGGGTCAACTTGGACAATAAATTTCCAGCGGCGGACGTGAGAGTGCAGATGTTCCCGTGGGTGCCTGGGATCTCGAGCGTCTTTTTGATTGTTGACAGCGGCGCATCCCAAATACAAGCTGCTTTTGTTGAGCTAGCACATCAAGAAGTCAAATTATGCTCCGCTTCCAGCAGCCAGGCGAAAAATCCTGATAGTCTGGAGCAAATATGAGAAATGAAAGCCACTTTGAACGCAGAGATATTTTAATTAACTGAATTAGAAACAGATACGGGGGAAAGACGCTGGCTGTGCTACAACCTCTCCCCATCTGGACATCCCTCTGGTGTCTCATAGAACTGATATCCTTATGAGTATTTTCAAATCCTTATTCATTTGGAAAAAGTGTTGTGTGGTCCTTTGCTATGTGTATTTGTAATTCAATATCTTTATATCGGTGGTTTGAATGTTTGAAATCTAATTTGACAAAGTAACAAATAACTGGCAACCCAAATGTCCCACTTTCCCGTCCTCCCATTCTCCAAAAGCCACACACCTGTTTAATCCATCACTTATTTAACGTCCTGTTGACTTTTTTATAGTAAGTCCTGATGAAGACTTCCTTGTGGGGCTCACTTTCTGTTTAGGGGTGCCCTGGATAGTTCAGAGTTTTCGCAAGACTGATCCTGTTTTTCCAAGGTTAGCAACACCTGCAAAATAGAGCCACTTTTTTCTTATGCAAATACGAGACTCATGTGACGCTAATTCAGCTTTTTGATTGGATACTCAGCTTGACAATCAATTTATAAAATGTTGACATAAATAATATTCTATAACTAAGAATAAATATAGTTTTGATCAGACATCGAATATGTACGTTATATTCAAAGAGATGTCCGAGGGCTATCTCTAACTAACTGACCTTATTATCGTCAAAATCTACTTTCAATAATGCATCTGTTTTATACAGCACTTTCTGAACACTCAAAGTCACTAGAAAGTATTATTCATTCTATTGCTATAGCCACAGCTGCCCTGGAGCACACTGACAGAAGCGAGGCAACCAGTATGTGCCATCAGCCCGTTCCAATACAACCAACACACACCAGACTCCTTCTAGGCAGTGTGTGTGTGAAGTGTCTTACCTAAGGACACTAGAGCCGTCCCGCTGTGGCACCTGGTGTTCCCAGAGGTCCCCCATCACAGTACTAACCAGACCCTGCAACAAATCTGTACTGGGACTAAACTGAACTAATGTGTACGGAAAGAATTCAACTACGGGTCTTTATTTTGAATGAAAGTGTGAGAGCTATAATATTGTTAATACAATGTCATTTTAAATGCACTTGGTACTTGGCAGGCTCATTGTCAAACCTTTTAATTATTATATATTATTAAACTATATTACAGGCATGTGGTCCAGATGTGAAAGACATTATTTTATTTATTTATTTTTTAATTGTGAACTCCTAACCATTTTTTGTAAACTATAGTACTTCTATATGAAATGTGACATTGCGATGAATTGGTCTTGTTATTTCATTTGTACAAGGCAGGTTTTTTCCAGTGCTGGTGTGATGCTCACGTACACGATGCATAAGGGAGAAAGCAGCTGGGGTTGTATTCCAGTTTCTTCATGAAGCGGATCTGACCGTTGTCTCGGAGGCAGTACAGGTTTCTCTCTCCCAGGACGAAGATGGACGAGGAGGAGTGCGAGAAGGAGGGCACAGACAGCTCCAAGGTCTGTTCTCCCAAAACCAACGTCCAGTCAGGCTGAAACCAAAGCACCATGGGATAAGGACAGGTGACTGACAATGTGCCAGTCCCTGTGACCAAGGTCACAAAGCACTTTACAACTGTGGATATTTTTCTCTCTCACTCCACACAGAGATGAGAGCTGGGTCACCTGTTCACAAGTGGAACATTTCAGACCTATTGGACATGTTTTTAATGGTAGGAAAAACCAGAGTACCAGACACGGGGAGAACATGCAAACTCCACAGGACCTTCTTGCTGTGGAGCACAACCGCTAACCACTGCACCACCATGCCGCCCAAGACGATTGTATCCCCACTCTTTTAAATGTACTGATCATTTATGATTCAAATGCCTTGTGTTATTGTTCTGTTAAGCACTTTGAGTTGCATTGTGTATGAAATGAGCCATACAAATAAACTTGCCCTAATTCTATGAAGATGCAATGAATATATGGGCACATTCAATATAAATAAATACTGTATCTATGCAATATGGGTTAATGCACTAAAAAACCTTTGCAATATAGTAAGTAAGTGGGTAATCTTGTATATAGCACATTATAAGGTCACCAAAGCGCTTTACAATTGTTGAATATAGAACAATAAAAGTATATACTATGTGCAATTGTACTCTATGTAAAAAGAACATGTAATATACTAGAATGTGCAAAACAGATTATGGGAAAATTGTGTTTTTAAAAATTTCCAACGTACCGTCAGCCTCTTCCCTCCACCTTTCAGAGGAAGCTCTTGTCTGTTCTCTGCTTCTGTGGCTGTAGCCAGAGTTTCATACCTGTCAAATAACAACACATTTCAAAACACTGATATGAAAGTTGTATGAAAGTCTGTTTCTACAGTTATCTATTTTCGTGACATTTCTTCATCGTTCTCAAATGAGGAGTCTCTTGATGAATGATGAAGGGTTCAGTGAGATCGGTGCTCGGCTGGTTTTGGCAGCGGTGGTTTTGAGTCAACTTTAGAACAGATGCCAAACCTCCACCTGTGATTATTGTATGGAATTACATCCTGTGCAGGTGATAAAGGTGATAAATAACTGTTCCAGCCCGTCCCTTTAACACAGGCATTTAGACCACGGCAACAGCCAGCTCTGTGTTCCTTTTGTCTGAAAACATGATATGAGCTAAGAGCCAAAACAGGTATATAACTCTGCACTACGAAATAAATATATATATATATTTTTGATTGGTATTGAAGCATTTACAGCCTTTACAGCTAGTTAAGAAACATAGCTACTACTTATTTTGTATTTTGTGTGCTCCCTGTGTGCTCTTACTACTGTTCTGTTTGTGCGCTGCAACATCGACATTTCCCCAGTGTGGGACGAATAAAGGAACTCTTATCTTATCTTATTTAACTTTCAATTATTTCAATGTTTCCAGTTTGGAAAAGTGTGAACGCATTTCTCCAAATTAAGTTATTTATTTAGCAAACAGTTGTATTTGGTTCGTTACTACATTTTCAGGCCACAATGATTCTTAAAACTGTTTATTTATTTTTTTCATTTGAACAGTGTCACAGACAGTTGGACTTGTGGTTATTAACACAAAAACAACATCACAGCTTTAGTCTATATGACGTTCCATGAAGAAGAACAGGAGAATTGGAGCCGCTCTCTTTGATTAAAGGCATGTGTTAGAAAAGGATGAAGTTGTGAAAAGTGCCATGTCCTCATTACAAGTGAAAAAGCACAGATCTCATACAGCGACTCACACCAGACTCTTGCAAATCAGATCCAAGAGGTGATCCACTTTTATCTTACAAAGTGATAGAAACAAGTCTCAATAGAAACATGTTACTGAAGACACTGTGCCTAATCAGAGTATTGTACTGCATTATACCAAGGGCTATAGTCATTACAACAAAGTGCCAAATGTCTGTACGGAATCATCCGTGCACTTGTTACTTTTAGAAATAAGTATTTATTTTATGTTTCATATTGGATGGAAGTGTTTCTGCTGCTGGACACCTACATTTCTCATACAGAATCAATTATGTGTCTACTATCTATACTATATACTATATATTGTGTAGGTTGATATAAAGGACATTGTAAAACCAATGGAGGCAGAAGGCAGGTTCTTTGACATTACGGGCATAATGACTAAAAGCAAATGTGAAGAAATTGTTGTTATGCCATTGTGTAGCCACAGTTGCCCTGGGGCAGACTGACAGTAACAAGGAAGCCAGTTGGCAGAGGTGGTGCCAACTTCCGACCAACAAGCTCACATCCATGATTAACAAGCAATCATGAAACATAACTATTCATGTGTTTGCAATATAGCACAGTCCTGCACAGGTCCAGACTCTTACGGATTCGAACTAAAAATACAACATGCAGGTTGACCAACTTGACAAACATTCCGAGTAAACAGAAGCCAAAGAGAATCTTTTTAAAGCCACAAGCGGAGCCTTATGTCACAGGTGGAGGAAAAGGGGCTTCTCACTGATATGAAAGGGAAACTCTGCAAACACGCTGATTTAGTTTTGGCATATTCATCATCTAAACACATTTAAACACACAAACAGCCAGTTTAGGCTCTTGCTCTCACTGTGTCACTGAGCTTAACGGCTTCACCGCTCCCAGCACTACTACATCAAGCTGGCATTCATGGGGCCAGCAGGCTAAATAAACCAGCAGCAGTTTGACCAGTCACCCGATACGAAATCTAAAACTGCGCATGAACTGGTGACCTGGTGATCGGATCCAGTCGGCACAGTGCTCCGTGATGCCATAACTCAGGATCAAAGATGGGGGATATGTCCTGTATTTTGCTTAGGAAATGTAAAATATCACGTTAGTGGGTCCGGTCCAGTAGAATAGTTTCCTATCACACTGATGTTTCCATCTGGTTGGACAGCTTCGATGTTTATAAATTACTTTTTAGTGGTTGAGGAAAACAGGAAGAAAACTGGTTAGCAGTTATGCATAGTCCTCAATTAAAGAAATAGTAAATAGTATAATACATTTTTTTCTACCATCAAATCCCCTCTACAAACCAAATATCAGCTCAATACGCCCATTTGTTTTTTGTTTTTTTTAGATACTCAGGGAAAAAATGGTTGGGGACTACTGCTTAGTCAATTAATAGGTTGATCTCATTCTAGTCTAAAACAGGATTAAAATAGGAAATCGGCAAAAGTTTGAAGATGTAGGGACATTTTGTTATGTTTTAGGTGATGAGGGAGCAGTGTCTATAGTCAGAGCTGTATCGGACTGTTGTGGTGAAGAGGGAGTAGCGTCTGCAGTAAGTGCTGTATCGGACTGTTGGGGTGAAGAGGTAGCAGCGTCTGCAGTCAGAGCTGTATCTGACTGTTCTGGGGAAGAGGGAGTAGCGTCTATAGTCAGAGCTGTATCGGACTAATGTGGTAAAGAGGGAGCAGTGTCAATAGTCAGAGCTGTATTGGACTGGTGTGGCGAAGAGGGAGCGGCATCTAGTCAGAGCCCTATCGGACTGTTGTGGTGAAGAACCACATGCCACTTGTATAAAGCACTTTATTGGCTCAGCACAGTACAAAGGGCCTACAATCAGGGATAAGTACAACCTGGTTTTCTATAGTAGCAGACAGTATTAGAAAACTACTCTTTCGATGACGTTTCAAATAAACAGATCTGTAACGTAATCAGCTCAAAGACATTTATAGCCTGAGAGCACTTAGAAATACATAAAGGCATTGGTCTATTTTCCTCCTCAAGCTGAACTCAATTCAATTCAATGTATTCTTGTATTTCCCTAAATCACCACAGTAGTTATCTGGGAGGACATTACAATTTCCCACTAAGCAAGCCGACGTTGAATCAACGTAATTTGAACGTCGTTGTCCGACGTAGAATATAGGTCACTGGTGGGTGCAGAATGAAAGTTTTCTCGACGTCGTTTCCCGACGTCACCTCAACCTCCAAATGTTACGTTGATGGCACGTCAATTCAAGGTTTGAATGTGGTACAGAACCGGTCGGGTCTGACGTCCTATCAACGTCTCATATGACCAAAATATTGACGTTTATATGACGTTCGTTTTCAGTCGTTCCCACTAAGCAAGCAGATGTCAAAACTATGTCATTTCAACGTCATCTGGACGTTCATTCAAGGTTTGAATGTGGTACAGAACCGGTCGGGTCCGACGTCCTATCAACGTCTTATATGACCAAAATATTGCCTTCATATGACGTTCGTTTTCCGTTGTTCCCACTAAGCAAGCAGATGTCAAAACTATGTCATTTCAACGTCATCTGGACGTTATCTGGACGTTCAAATGACGTCGCGGCCACTTCATTCAAGGTTGCAATGTGGTACAGAACCGGTCGGGTCCGACGTCCTCTCGACGTCTTATATGACCAAAATATTGACGTTTATATGACGTCCATTTACAGTCCTATTGACATACTTAACCTCTGCAGAATCACTCACTGGTCGAGACATACTTTTTGCAATAGGCAAGGCAAGTTTATTTGTATAGCACAGTCAAAACAAAAGGAAACTCAAAGCACTGAACAAAAGATAGAAACAATCAAACAAGGCATTACAATTATAAATATTGACTGTAAATTAAGAAGAAACAAATAAAATCTCTCATAAAATCTCTCAGTTGAAGCAGAAACAGAAGTGTTTTAAACCTGGATTTTAACATTGTCAAAGAAGAAGCCTGTCTCACATTTCCAGGAAGACCGTTCCAGATTTTAGCCTTGTGAATCTGAAATGCAGCTTTATCATGTTTAGTTCTGACTCTGGGCAATAAACGATAAACACAGCATTCAAAAATCATTATAACAACTGTAGTAGAAGGATATCAGTCATTATTGCAAATGGAGCTGCATTAAAAATCATGTTTCTCTACATCAAAGTACAAGTTAAACCACACAGGGCACAGTATTATGAACACTACTGTACTGAACAGTTCATGCCAAAGTAAAAAAACATGATTGTAGCGCCTATGTTTGGATCAGTATTAAAACAGGCACAAGCTACACTCTAGGTTCCCCAGATGTAAAAACACAATCTGAAAGGCAGAAGAATGCATTTATTGAATGTTGAGGTTCCAACATGTGTCCTCTCTTGGTCTTCAGTCTCTCATCACAAGGTCCAAGCACAGCACCTGAAAATGTGGAACATGTTTAGTTTCAACATAATGTGGCAAAGTGATATAACAACACATAACTTTCTATTAATGCCTAAACCACTCGATCCATCACCATGTGATACAAACCTTGGCACTGCACTAGCTCGAGACACTGGAAGACACTCCGTCTGAGAAACTTGGGATAAGGCTTTGGTCATTGGAGTAATTCCATGTAAAAAACAATTGCAAATGTGCATTTGTTTTGCACATGGACAAATGAGCCCTGAAAGCTACTTACCCTGTATTACTCTACACATGTTGCATTTCCGAGGGGGCATTTTCCCCTTGTTGCTCTTTTCCCTCATCTTGAGTGAGTTGCTGAACAATCTGAGAAAAAGATAGATGTTTTCAAAGAGAATACACCAAATAATGGTTTATTCTAAAAACAACATATTAATACAGAACAACAATCAATGTGTGAGAGTGTGATTCTTACCTTTGAACACCTTTAACACAGTCTGACACCTGTAAGACTCAAACACACATGACACATTAGGAATACACACAGAACATTAGTTATTGCAACAATCATGAAATTATACTCTATGGATTTCACAATAATTGACTGCATTAGCAAAGGTAAATGTATTTTAATTAACATATGGCTGGTTTTAAAGTTTATATGAAAAAGTAAGACATTGAATAGAGTTGCAAGCGCTAGTTAGCTTGCTACCATCAGATGAATGGATATTTAACATTTGCAGCTAACAATAACAAAAATAACAACTGTAGTGGCTCATTTAAACAGCCACAGTGAGAAGAAGTGAAAGTCTCTGACATTGAAGACCTGGGAAGACATTAAATCAATTTATTAAACAAAGCAATACATGAACATTAAACTCTCTTTCTGCAGCAGGTAACATCTGTGTGCTCCTATGGTCCCACATGGTCCCACATGGTCCCACACCTGAACTCAACTCCAACTGATGACATCACAGGTGTCTAAATGATGGGAGTGTCCCAAATATTAAAGCTGATCTCCTTGTTTTTAAACTTAGTTTACTAAGTACTGTTTCTTTTTGCAGTTTATAAACCATTGTGAAATATACAGTAACTTTACATTTCAGAATTGAATTATTATTTTAAAACTCAAGAATCTTAACCTTTTTTAACACATACTTTGTTGGACAGTCTAACCTAAGAATTCTAATGTGTTAAAAATAGTTTGAAATATGAAAAACAATATCATATTTTAAACTTTAACTTAAAAACTAAAAAAAGGTGTCTCCCTTTCAGCTGAGCAGTGCCAGCCGTTATTATTATAGATTCATGCACTGGCAATTCAAAATACAGATAATATACAAAATATACTTAACAAAATCCACGTATACGTGAGAAAACAACTTACTTTCTGTCTCCAACTCTTTTCAATGTGGAAATGATACATCTATATCTAAAAACTGTGCAGACTGTGTACTTACTAGAGAGGATGATTCCAAGTAAATAAAGCAGGGCAGTGACAGAGGTACAGATTCAACGTCATATCAACGTCTGGGAAGACATTGCTTTACGTCCAGATGCACACCTTACGTCGTTTAGACGTGGAAAACAGGTCCTCGACCGAGCGACTCACGTGTCAGGCTGTAAAGTTATAAGTTATACTCGCGCGGCGCATAAGTGTGCGTCGGTTGTTTAGGGTGTTATCTATTATTTTTTCACAGTAGTCAGAAAAAATGCCTGGCCGTGGTGTAGCGGTTGCGTAATGAGACTTCAGTTGCAACGACGCGGGTTCAAATCTCCGTCGGAAAACTTTTGACTTTTCACTTTTTAGCGAACAATTTTTCTGTTTGGTTAAAAACGAATAAACACTCAACATAAGATTATGTAGTGGCTAATAATAAAACTTGTGAACCCATGCATTTGCATAAAATCTCAAGTGCTCACCCCTTATTTGCAAACTTGAGATTGTTAGCACAACAAATGCATACATTCACAAGTTTTATTATTAGCCACTACGTAATCCTATGTTGAGTGTTTATTAGTCTTTAACCAAACAGGAAAAAATTGTTCGTTAAAAATCAAAACAAATATATAAAGATAATAATACACACACATGGGCTCGAACCCACGTAACCAAGACTGCACACGTTTGCTTAACCACTACACTACCGTCAGGTACACTTACATTGCTTCACAGCCTATATATTGTATTGCTAGATCAAGACGTACTGCGTCGGTCGGCCGATGACCTGTTTTCGACGTCTAGGGGAGGTCGGGATTGAACGTCATATCCACGTATATGGGAGGTCATTGTTTTACGTCCAGATGCGCACCTTGCACAGACGTCGTTTGGACGTAAATAAAAGGTCACGACCGACCGACGCGATATTGACGTGATCTGGAGGTTGAGTGGACGTCGGATGTTTAGTGGGTTGCCGACACAGATCAGAGAATCAAACAGTTCAAACACAAGAAATGCAACGATAGAAAATACATCGAGCCATTGGTCCATAAGGGGCAGATGACTAATGTCCATAAATGTCCATAAATGTCCATAAATGTGGTTGAATATCGAGTGTCCTGGATAATAACCACTGTCCTTTGACCCTCTCTGACGACTCTAATTTTAAAAAAAGCCGATCCATGATGTCATAGGAGAGTCAGAAGTCTTTGTTTCAGCCACTGTTTATTTTGCTACAGGGAATTGTGTGTCTTGTCTTCACATTAACACACAGTGAATTAATAGAAAAATACTGTCTTCTTTAAACAGCGACAGTCTGACTTCTTTAGGGCGACAGTGGCTCAGTTGGTAGAGCATCAGCCTTTGAGCCTGAAGGTCGTGGGTTTGAGCGCACTACGAGACCTACCTTACGACTCCCACTGATGACTGCTGTCGTTGTGTCCTTGGGGAAGACACTTAACCCCACTTTGCCTGAAGCCCCTGCTGGAAGATCAAGACTCCTGCAGACTCACCACCTGCAGGAGGATCAATGAGGGGCTGGTGCTCTGTGTACTGGGTGAAGCTCTGACTGCCACCCCCCCGACCCAGAAATGGATTAAGGGGAAGAAGATGGATGGATTGATGGATGTCTTCTTTAGAGTCTTTGCTCAAACATAAAAAAACGTATGTGGCTTGATTTGTCATTTGTCCTTCTCTTTACCACTGCGCCTCAACAAAGTGGCATTTACGCTGTAATTTATGTTTGCACACAAGCACATATCGGCAATAACGTCCTTTTTGAAGTGGTGACTTCCATTTGCCCTCTGCTACAGTTACTAAGTCCACAGCACGTAAGCCAGCAGAAATAGAAGGAGATGTGAAGTCAGTGTTTCCAGAGGAGTATCTAATCTGAGGAGGCCGAGGATACTTTTTTTTTTTACTCTGGAGAAGATAACAAACAGCTGTGGGGTCTGCGAGGCATGTGAGGGCAGTTGGTGTGGATGTCCTCTCACTGTGGAGGAGGTACCTGCCAAAATCAGCCTGCTGTTTGGTGCATGTGTGTGCGCTGGCCTGGGTCCTAAAGCCGGGCTCAAACCACGGGAGATCAGGACGCAAACTAAACGATGGCAGCTGCCGATGGACTGCGCAGAAAACTTTAAGGGAATAATATCGATGTGGGATCGGCTTTGGAACAGACTGAGGCCAGGAAGCTCAAAGAGACGTGACCAGAGGAGAGATAGGTGGACTCAAAGAAGACTGATAGACTAAAATCCAGGGTTAATTGCATGTTAATCAGCAACAAAATCCATCCACATCATCACTCATCTTCACTTGGAAAAACAAGACGGATAGTTCACATTAACACTACAAGAGCCGAAATTTTGACTGCTCCCATTCAAACCAAGGGAATTCTGAGAAAATCCCCCTAAATTATTAGTTTTTCACCAGATTCATTAAAAGTAAGTCATTTGCAAGATTTGTTTTAACTTTACTCACTTTTAATTTGCTGTATGTCAAGTTATATTCATAAGTTTTGGCAAAAAGAGTTTCTTGAAAGGCGACAAATTGCCAACTACTGCAAGTGGGTTGCTATGGTAAATAGCAATCGCTTTGGTGGAAAACCAAGCTGACTCTGATCAGGACCAGTTCAAGACCAAAATCTTAGAAAAGGAGCTTTAACTGTGATAGAAAATAGGTTACCAAGCAACAGAGTTAAAACGATAGAATTTCAAAAATAAAAAGACAATTTCATGAAAATAATGACATTGAAATAAACTATATACAGAAACAGAAAACTTCACAAAATTCAGAAGACAAGAAATGTACATGAGGTTTGAGTTATCGACCCCAAAACAGTCGTCAAATTGACTGCTCTCGGACTTCTAGTGTTAAACAACGAAGCATCTAAAGTATTATGGTCCTGAATCTTGTAGTGTGTGACAACAGCACGAGCATAACAGACAAACAAATTATAATTTGGATTAAAAAATTGCAGCTCGATTAACTTTTCATTTAAAATATGGATGTGTTAGAAGCAGCACTCCACATATATTAATTTGTTTTAGATTAAATAATTTGAATAATTGTATCATTAGTTACACTTTGACCAAAATCTAAAATGGTGATGAGAAGGAGGGCTGTACCTGTAGCTCTCCAGCTGGCGGGCAGACGACACCGTGAGGAAGCTGTCTGTCCTGGGGTTGTAGACCAAGGGGCCTGGCAGCAGAAACCCAGGGAGGAACCGGCCAAAACTGTAGCTGTCCTGCTCGAAGAACATTAGCATCCCATCCATGGACTGGATACACAGAGAGTGATGTCCTGAAACACAAGCAAAGAACCTTCTTCATTCAAACAAACTTTCTAAATGCTCCTGATGATGGACTGAAACAGGGCTCAGAAAAGGCTATTGCAAGGGTCTCAACTCAGCTGGGGGCTGCACAAGGTTGAGGATGGGTCGCATTCAAAGATATATTAATCACGGTTTTGTGCAAAATGTTTGAAAAGGCCCCATACAACGCACATACACCAACCATTCACACAGCTTACAGCCGCCCCACTGTGGCACCTGGTGTTCTCAGAGGTCTCCCATCACAGCACTAACAAAGCCCTGTCCTGCACAGCTTCAGAGGTCTGACGTGATCTGGCTTTCACCTGCAGGTGGCGCCACACAAAGAGAACATATACTGTAGATTCACATACATTGTCTGTCCAATAGTACATTTTTGCAAACTATTCAGTCTTGGCTAGTTCAAAATAGGTAAATATTACTAAATGTATATATTGATGCATTATTTACGTTGTCTGGGCCTAAACTACTGACTCGTACTTGTGTCTGTGGCATAAAGAATCAGTACTATGTTTTATTGTGCTCATTTTCTATATTAAAAGTGTATCTAAATGTGCTTGAATACACTTCCCATATATAAGCAAAAAATTAGCCAAATGTACAGTGATAATGATTTACTCCCCCCATGTTTCCATACTGAGAACAAACACGTCACATTTGGGAGTTTGTACGTTACCATTTGACAATAAAGATTTACTTTTTAGGCAGTTCCAGGAAATGGACTAATTGTGCAGAAAGGACATGAGCCAGAAAGCATGAGAAAATGTAGGCAAACTGACTTGCTTTAAAGATTGATATGTGGAAATGATGGGATGGGTGTGAATTCTGGCGTTTATACAGTAAACAAACCAATTTAAATATTTAAAGTATCTGGGGGAAAGAATGTTGTGCAGATGTGAGCTGTCAAAGATGAGCTATTCTTGTTTCAATTGTCTGTGTGCTCTGATGCAACTCCGAGACCAGCGTTTGCATTGATTTCACGAAGCCAGTGTATGGTATTAGCACAAGCTGGACCCAAGAGCCACTAGATCATTGAATATAATCATGGTTGTGTGTGTAAAGTTGGTCTTAGGGGCCGAAAACCGTAGAATTTTTATAATAAGTCCTTCTTAAATATCATGAAACAAAATAATCAGAATAGGTTGCGTTCATGTGATATCACAACATTCCAGCCTAAACTTTAACATTGTTGTGGAGGGCAGCAGAAGAAATCGTCCCCTTCTGTTCATAGTTTAGAATAATAACAACAATAGTAATGAATTGGTTTTCTATATCGTTTAATAGGGAAACTCAAAGATTCTTCACGTGACATTATTAATTCACTGTGTACACTGCGGCGACTGTAGCCACAGGTGCCCTGGGGCAGACTGAGAGATATGTTAATTTAGTCATAGAGCTATTTTCTCTGTATTTCCTCGGACAATCCAAATGAAAGGAAAAAGTTCCAAATTGTCTTTGTCAGCACATATCAACTATGGTTTAGTTCTGAATCTGAAGTATGGGTAAAGTAAAGTATAATAATCGCTATCAAATAATAATCTGGGAAAACCTCTGGGTATTTTCAACATTTCATTCAAAAATGACTTCAAATATGTATTTTAGTTGTGTTAGCCCCTGCCCTTCAGCTGAAGTGGCAAGACTCATCAGTAATTTCCGCTGTGTTTTGTTATAGTCTTGACGCCATGTTGTGCTGAGGTGTGCTTTATAATGTAACATATCCAGTGACACCTCTTCCACACACGAGGCCAGAAACTGAAAAGGTGTTTGTTAGCAAAGGGGCTTAATGTGGGTTGTATTGGGCCTATATTGCCGCTCCGGAGCACACACGCGCTCATAAACCGGGCCTGTGTGGGACCAGAGGACTATAATTAAGCCTCAATGTGCCATTAAAACTCACACAGCATCAGCTAGAGGTCAGGGGAACAGCCACCTACAGCGCTCGGCAGCCATCAGCCCAAACCTGCCGAGTTAAGCACATTATGGAGGCTGTGAAATATGTATGTACGTCCTCTTTGACCTCAGAGCTGGTTTAGCTTGTAGACTGAAATGACTTAAGATGAATAATAAGAGTTGATGTAACCTTTATATCAGGGGTATCCAAACATTTTAGTAAGAGGGCCACTTTAGTTCACTAGACTAGTCCAGGGGCCGACGTCAGTCACGGGCTGAGAAATTGACTGGCATCGGGCTGTTCTGAGCTTTAAAATGATCTATAACAGAGCTGAAGTTGGCTGAATGACAAATGTTTACCATCTCACCAGTTGCATTAGCACCATTAATGGAAGTCTGTGACAAAACCAAAAACCATTTCAGTATGTGCAAATAAAGTCAACAATTGTATTTCAGACGTACTGGGCTTCAGAACGAGCAACGATCGGACTATAACGGCTGAGCTGAAGTTGGATGAATGACAGGGTGAACTTGTGTTTATGATCTCAAAGACTACTTTGGGTTAGCAAGGTAGAGGGCCACATAAAATGAACCTGGCGGCCGCAATTGGCTCCCGGGCCTGAGTTTGGACATGCCTGCTTTATGTAATCAAAATTGTTTTTTTTTTTAACAGTGCAAACCCATGATCTAGAATTGTATAATTGATGAATGAAATGAAAGAGGTAGAATATGATTGTCTTTGGTCCCGAGAAACAAAGAGAGACCGTCATTTGTCACCTTCAGTCTCTCTCCCTAAGGCCTTTAAATAAGGTCAGAAATCTGGGAGTAATAATGGACTCTGACTTAAACTTCAATAGCCACATTGGATCGGTAACATCAGCAGCTTTTTATCATCTGAAAAATATTGCCAAAATTAAAAATATTGTGTCCAGGGCAGACTTGGAGATTCTTATCCATTCTTTTGTTTCCAGTAGGCTGGATTACTGCAATGGCCTGCTCACAGGTATCTCCAAACATGCAGTAAAACAGCTGCAGTATATTCAAAATGCTGCAGCCCGAGTCCTGACTAGAACCAGGAAGTACGACCACATTAGTCCGGTCCTCAGGTCTCTGCACTGGCTTCCCGTGGCCCAGAGGATAGACTTTAAAGCAGCTCTCCTGGTGTACAAGTCTCTCCATGGCCTTGCACCAAAGTACATCCATGATATGCTAGTCCCATATGAACCAGCCCGGACTCTGAGGAGCGCAGGGACGGGACTCTTGTTAGTGCCCAGAGTCAGGACTAGACAGGGGGAGGCTGCTTTTCAGATCTATGCAGCTAAAGTCTGGAACAGTCTTCCTGAGGATGTGAGACTGGCTGCCTCTCTGTCAATGTTCAAATCCATGTTAAAGACTTTTCTTTTTTCCTGTGCATACAACTAGAGAATTTTATCTTTTTAACACACCTTGTTATTTATTGTTGTAACTTTTTGTGTTTTTAACTATTTTATTGTTTTTAATTACTTGTGTGATTCTTATGTTTTTAAATTACTTATGTGATTTTAATGCTTTTTAATTACATATGTGTTTTTAATTGTATTTTAATGGTGATGATTTGTGCATTGTGTGGTGTGGACTGTGAGGCGCTTTGTGTTGCCCTGTGCAGGAAAAGCGCCCTATAAATAAAGATTGATTGATTGAATAAGCCGTCTTTTTCTTACTAATAAGAGTCCAATTTGAGCAGGTTCTAGCTGGTGCTTTGCCCTGAGGAGTTTGCATGTTCTCCCTGTGTCTGTGTAAGTCTCCTTCAGGTCCTCCGGTTTCCTGATCCCTCTCTCAATATGGGCCTCACCAAGGTTTCTCTCTTTTCCCCAAAGGGTTTTTGTTTTAGTGATTCCTTGCCGATGCAGGAGGGTCTAAGGACAGTGAAGACCCGAGATATTTAATGACATTTGTCCATGAATGTCCACTGTCCATAAACATTTATGGACAGTGGCCGCTCCTTACGGACCAATGGCTCTATGTGCTAGTTATTATTGAATTTTCTAAGTTCAAACTGTTTAGGAATCGACAACTTCGTCAAATCCCCTGAGACGACTGCTGTTGTGATTTAGGGCTATACACAAATACATTTAATTGAACTGTTTGGCGAACTTTCAAGAAAATACCAAAGAGAGGTACAGACTACTCTTTGTTTTTCTTTGAATTCTGTAACAAACCATCCAACCCCTCGACAGCAGCTGTGTCTATGTGTAGATTTGTAGATCTTACACATAGAAACAGCTGCAGGAGGAGTCCATTCTGCAGGACACAAAACAGATCTATGGGGGGGCCTCCCAGACCTCCTTCGGGGTCAAACCAACACACGGCAGACGTCCAGACACCGGGCTGGACTCAGACTCAATAAGGCCTCTGCTGCTTCGACAGAGCGGGCTGTTTTAGAAAGACCAAATTGCAGGTGAAACCCAAGCCTCCCTAAACAGATGAAAGAGGCTCGTACAGCAGAGCGGCCGCAGCAGAGGAAACGAGTCTATTAGAGTCATTAATAAGAGATGTCCAAGCAGCACAGAGACCCATCTCAAGGATCTGTGCGGAGGAAACACTGCTCACACTTTTCCATGTTGTTTTTGGCTATAAAAACACATGTAATAGGCTGCTTTCATCTGACATCACAATTTTCTAATGAGCCAGGGTGAATGGCGGTGCTGTCTAACTGTTGAATTGCAGATTGCATAACCAAAAATCCAGGTTTATAATTACACAGTGATAATCTAAAATGAATAATGAGATATATTATGAATTCAAGCGTTTATAATATCGTAAAAGAAATGAAAGAAAGATGTTGTAAAAAGGGGTAGGACACATAAGCGTTACTACTATCTAAACCTTTTTGCATTTTGTATCTTTTTTAATGTATTCTATAATGAACATTAATAATAATAATAATAATGCATTGGTTTTATAAAGCGCTTTTCAGGAGACTCAAAGACACTTCACATGTTGTTATTCTTTTCACTTCATACACGATGGTGATAAACTACTACAGCTGCCCTGAGGCACACTGACAGAAGCGAGGCAACCAGTATGTGCCATGTGCCCCTCCGACCACCACCAACCATTCACATTTTGAATAAGTCAAAATGTAATGTAAAGGACTACAACAACAATATGAAAGGACATTTTGAGAAAAGGTAAGAAGAGAAAAATAAGGTACTTTTTATTGGCGCCACTGGGTTTCACTCGTTCGGAGATCAAAATTCTGTTTGAGGTTTTTCAGTACCAATACTTTCCTAAATCAATAGTTTCAATGCAAGTTTTAATAGACATGATTTTTCATTCTTTTGACAACCCTATAAAAATGTGCACTAAAAAATTAAAAAAGTAAAATAGTGTGATAAAAGTAAAAATTCGGTGATAAATTGCACAACTTTTTATCATCCATCACCTGTCCAGGGACGACGGTTGGAAACGGCCATTTTTGCTAAAACCTGCACAAGACATATTTATTTTGTTGTTCCAATCAAATAAATACGCTCAATTCACTTGCTCGATCTTATTTGAACTACATTTGCTGAAATCTCATACTCAAATCATGCTCTTTTCATGTGGGGTGAGTTTTTCTGGGATGCTGTTGAGTTTACAAGTTGAGTTGCTGATTTCATGGTCTTGAACAAAAACATATTTCTTGTGCCACTGCTGTGAAAATGTATTATTACCACTGATCTGTGACTGACATCGATGTGATGTGAAATACTCACATCGACTCACAATACCGTCACTGTGACAGGGTTTTAAAGGGCCAATAAAAGGGTCTGTTGCTCCATCTAGTGGTTAAGGCAGGAAGTGCTTAAACAGCGATGATGGGATTAATTAGATCACTGTGGTTTTATGAGGGCTTTGGGCTATTATTTATGTGTATTAGTTTGTTAGTTAGATAGATGCATTTCAAACCTGCAGAACACAGTTTCCCATATTTTTGCACTAATACAGGTTTGAAAAAGGAGTTGGATGAAGCAGAGGCTTATCTTATTCCAACCCTCTCACCCATTCAACACAATAATACACAGAATTCAACAACACCATTAACCAATAAACAGAATACAATTATGATACTGAGTAGTACATACAGAAATACACAATACACACGGAAAAAATGACCCTCACACAAAAACACACACGCACGAACAGAGACAGACCTAGAGACGGAGACAGACAAACAGACAGACAGACACAAATACAGAGAAACACACAGAGACAGAGACCGACACACAGACTGACACACACAGAGAGAGACAGAAACAGACAGACAGACACACACACACACACAGACACACGCACGCACAGAGACAGACACACACACACACAAAGAGAGACAGAGACAGAGAGAGACACACACACACACACACACACACACAGAGACAGAGACCGACACACAGACTGACACACATAGAGAGAGACAGAAACAGACAGACAGACAGACACACACACACAGACACACGCACGCACAGAGACAGACACACACACACACACAGACAGACACACGCACACACAAAGACAGAGACAGACACACACACACACAAAGACAGAGACAGAAAGAGACAGACACACACACACACAAAGAGAGACAGAGACAGACACACACACACAGAGACCGACACACAGACTGACACACACAGAGAGAGACAGAAACAGACAGACAGACACACACACACACACACACACACACAGACACACGCACGCACAAAGACAGAGACAGACACACACACACACAAAGACAGAGAGAAAAAGACACACACAAAGACAGAGACAGACACACACACACACACAAAGACAGAGAGAGAAAGACACACACAAAGACAGAGACAGACATACACGCACACAGACACACACACACACAGAGATAGAGACAGACACACAAACACGCACATCTTCAGCACTTCTTCATGGGAGTAAGCTTACGAACAAATCGTTGACGCTACATTTTCTCTCCAGCAACACACTTTTCCAGAGCGAGAGCCTGACGTGGAACAAAGCAGGAGAATCCACAACGAGCCAAGATACAGGTTGGAACAGGGCCCTGCTGTTCTCTCTATCAATCACCATTAACATGCAGTGGATTACAGGGCCACCACGCCAGGCCGCAGAGTCCACTCACCTCTCTGCTGACACAGGGCAACGCAACAATACCACCTCTATTTGCAACTGCCATACACTCTTTCTGCAGTTAAAAGGGGGTTCCCCGGGTGTGTGCCTGTTTATGTGCATGTGAGTTGTTCTTGGAAGTGGCCGAGTCAAGGGCTTTCCCCTTCGAGGTTTTTCCACAAGCCCAACAGACGGCGGAGGGAACAGATACATGACCCCTCTCTTATTATTTTTTTCTCCCCCCCGTTTCTATCCACCACTTACCGCATCTCGCACAGATTTTTATAGCGTTATATTCATCCAGCCAAGCCACATTTATTACCAGTGGCAGGATATGGAAGGGCTAAATCCAAATCAATGGTGTTGGAGATGTAGGAGTCATGTGATATAATATGGCTTCATGTTCATTGTAGAATCTATTTTAAGATCTTATTGTTTGTTTGTTGTTGTTAGTTTTTAAAGCTTTGAATGGATTGGCCCCACAGTACATCTATGGCCCCACAGTACATCTATGACCTCATTCTAATTTACCACCCGCCCCGAGCGCTGAGGTCCGAGGGCCAGCTCCAGCTTGTGGTACCGGGGACGAGACTTTAAACCCGGAGGGGACAGGGACCAAAGCTATGGAATGCTCTGCTATACAAATAAACTTGCCTTGCCTCTGCCAACATCCTGAAAACACACTCTGTCCGTTCATGCGGGTGTTGCGCCGTTCTCACCTGTGACGCCGCCAAACGTGCCGTACGCCATGTTACAAGCCGTCCGCTGCAGATTGTGCTCGTACACAAGCTTCTGCTGGTATTGATCTCCATGATCCACGTTTCCTGTTGTTCCTAAAACACACAAAGATTATTAGCATCATCACATACAGTGCCTTGCGAAAGTATTCGGCCCCCTTGAACCTTTCAACATTTCGCCACATATCAGGCTTCAAACAAAGATATAAAAAAAATATGTTTTGTCATGTATCAACAACAAGTGGGACACTATCGTGAAGTGGAACAAAATGTATTGGATAATTTAAACTTTTTTAACAAATAAAAAACTGAAAAGTGCGGCGTGCAATATTATTCGGCCCCTTTACTTTCAGTGCAGCAAACTCAGTCCAGAAGTTCAGTGAGGATCTTTGAATGATCCAATGTTGTTCTAAATGACTGATGATGATAAATAGAATGCACCTGTGTGTAATCAAGTCTCCGTATAAATGCACCTACTCTTTGATAGTCTCAGGGTTCTGTTTAAAGCGCAGAGAGAACCATGAAGACAAAGGAACACACCAGGTAGGTCCAAGATACTGTTGTGGAGAAGTTTAAAGCCGGATTTGGATACAAAAAGATTTCCCAAGCTTTAAACATCTCAAGGAGCACTGTGCAAGCAATTATATTGAAATGGAAGGAGTATCAGACCACTGCAAATCTACCAAGACCCGGCCGTCCCTCCAAACTTTCATCTCAAACAAGGAGAAGACTGATCAGAGATGCCGAAGGGGCCAATGATCACTCTGGATGAACTGCAGATAACTACAGCTGAGGTGGGAGAGTCTGTCCATAGGACAACAATCAGTCGTGCACTGCACAAATCTGGCCTCTATGGAAGAGTGGCAAGAAGAAAGCCTTTTCTCAAAGATATCCATAAAAAGTCTTGTTTAAAGTTTGCCACAAGCCACCTGGGAGACACACCAAACATGTGGAAGAAGGTGCTCTGGTCAGATTAAACCAAAATCGAACTTTTTGGCCACAATGCAAAACGATATGTTTGGCGTAAAAGCAACACAGCTCATCACCCTGAACACACCATCCCCACTGTCAAACATGGTGGTGGCAGCATCATGGTTTGGGCCTGCTTTTCTTCAACAGGGACAGGGAAGATGGCTAAAATTGATGGGAAGATGGATGGAGCCAAATACAAGACCATTCTGGAAGAAAACCTGTTGGAGTCTGCAAAAGACCTGAGACTGGGACGGAGATTTATCTTCCAACAGGACAATGATCCAAAGCATAAAGCCAAATCTACAATGGAATGGTTCACAAATAGACGTATCCAGGTGTTAGAATGGCCAAGTCAAAGTCCAGACCTGAATCCAATCGAGAATCTGTGGAAAGAGCTGAAGACTGCTGTTCACAAACGCTCTCCATCCAACCTCACTGAGCTCGAGCTGTTTTGCAAGGAAGAATAATTTATTCAATACATTTTGTTCCACTTCACGATTGTGTCCCACTTGTTGTTGATTCTTGACAAAAAATTTAATTTTTATATCTTTATGTTTGAAGCCTGAAATGTGGCGAAATGTTGAAAAGTTCAAGGGGGCCGAATACTTTCGCAAGGCACTGTATGTCAGGTTTACTCAACAAAAATCATTCGAGTAGATAAACTGAGCTCTGGTGTCTGCTCTGTCTGGTGCACAATGGGGGAGTCTTGCACTGTTCCAATGTGGTTTGACTGCAAATGTCAAAATAAATCTGGATTCTTCATTCTAAGAGCATTTTTAAACAGGCTTAGTCATCTTAGACCCTTTAGGAGCCTTTACAACCAGTTTGATACAGCATTGTCTTTGTCGTTTTGAAAAAGCAACGTTGGTTAAGTCTGTTTACTGCTTTTGTGGACAGAAATTCTAGGCACAGTCTGAGCTCAGAGGGAGTCCTGTTTGGGGACCATAGGATTAAATCTCTGCTGTTCGCGGACGATGTCGACAAACCAGGACCGTCAGCACTGGGACGGTTTGCAGCCGAGTGTGAAACGGCTGGAATAAAGATAAGCACCCCCAAATCTAAGGCCATGATGCTCGACCGGGGAAAGGTGCCTCGTCCTCTCCAGGTGCAGAGGTCCTTCCTCAAATGGAGGAGTTTAACTCTCTCGGGGTCTTGTTCATGAATGAGGGAAGAGATGGAGCGTGTGCAATGATCCGCAATGCAAATTAGTACAGTTATAAATCTCCATCAGTTTTCTTTTTTGTTTTGTTTTTAGGTTTCTTTATTAATTTTAAACATTTCACACAATTCGGACAATTTCAGGTACTTGGCAACACGATATTAAAGTACTAAGAGACCCCTTCCTTTAATGATGGAAGTTCTAATAATCCAGGCTGCAATGACGTTTTTTTATTTTGCAAATGTACAAATTGTGATGAAATAATGAATATCACGGTTACACCAGAGCACCAGGTTAAAACCTACCCGACACGGAATACACCGACAGCTTCCTGGGGTGAAGAACAGCCAGGTGAAGGAGATCTGAGCACCTGAATAATACACACACGCACACACATATTATTGCAGAGAGATGTACAGTATAAGAAGTATTTGCCTCTTCCCAGGGACTAGTAGTAGTATTAGTAGTAGTTTATTTGAGCAGTTTACATGTATTTTGACAGGTACAAAACATTTTAAGAACAAAGCTCAAAAGGAGAAGGCCGAAGCTCAAAACTACATTTAAGCGACTGCAAACAGAATCAGAATGCAAACACATTCCTCATTTTTTACCATCATCATCATCATTTTCATCTTGTGGATGCGAACAAAAAACAGCAAGTTATCAATTTATGTTCCAAATTTTGCCCCAATATTAAATGTAGAGGTTTATCATTCCCCTTTGTATGTTTGTCTTTTTTTCTGTTTTCTAATAATACTATGCAAGTGGTGCATTGAGAGTTGGAGTCAGCCCCCTCTCAATGATTCCACTGAACTATTGTGCGACTGGAACGTATTCTGTGTAGTGCATTAAAAAGACAAGGCTTTATGGAGAGGCCCTCTACCCAACAGACCCACACCACGTCTGCCCTAATTCTCAATGTCTGTCCGTGCAGGTTTAGCGATAACACAAAAGGAACTAGTAGCTATGTCTGGTATGAACAATACATTTATGGTGTAGTGTCCCTGTCAACTAAAAACTATCTAACCAACTAAATGTATTGATAATCAAATCAATATTTTGGAATACTGTGTGACCATTTTAAATCAATATTGACACGATCTGGACTTCAAACTCCAACTCAAACTGACACAAAATATGCATCAATCACTGAAAGCTTATTTACAGATGTTTTCTAAATGTGTTTTCACCCAAAAGAGGGTTAACTAATGTGGGCAACCACCAGAGTATAGACCAAAGATTGAGGCAACACTGATCTCTCTCTCGCCATAAACGTCTAACTAGTTTCCACAAACCACGGCCTGTTTTCTTGCAAACTCTCCAACAGTTTTTAAAGAAAGTCTGTTCTAAAAAACCACTGGGTAACTAAAGACGACATGTCCAAAACTGACGGTGGCATTCTGTTCCCAGTGCGATGATGAAGTGGGACAAACCACCACGGCTGTTCCCAGAATCAAATCCTGTTATGGAAAAGGCACACGGCTGCACTTTAGAACGATTTGTCAGCGTCTGCGTCGTAAACTGTTTATTGGACTCCATTAGATTCACATTTATTATCAATACATTATATACACTCACCGGCCACTTTATTAGGAACTCCTTGCTAGTACCGGGTTGGACCCCCTTTGTACTGTACTGGACACATTCCTCGAGAGTTGGGTCCATATTTGATAGCAACATGTAGTTTCTGCAGATTTGACAGCTCACATCTCAAAGTGTCTCTATTGGATTGAGATCTGGTGACTGTGAGGCCATTACAGTACAGTGAACTTATTGTCATGTTCAAGAAACCAGTCTGTGATGTGGTCCTCTGGCACCAACAAGGCTTTTTCATTCACCCAACTGCCGCTCACTGGATATTTTCTCTTTTTCAGACCATTCTCTGTAAACCCATAGAGATGCGTGAAAATCTCAGTAGATCAGAAGTGTCTGAAATACTCAGACCAGTCCGTCTGGCACCAACAACCGTTCCACGTTCAAAGTCACTTAAATCACCTTTCTTCCCCATTCTGATGCTCGGTTTGAACTGCAGCAGACCATCTTGACCACGTCTACAGCCTAAATGCATTGAGTTGGATAGATGTACCTAATAAAGTGGCCGGTGACGAGTGTATATAACAACTTCTATTCTCTCTGATCCGACCGGGAGTGCAGCTATACTTACAACACAGATAAACAAGATAAGATAAGAGATCCGTTATTCGGCCCACAGTGGGGGACATTTCAATGTTAAAGCGCACATACAGGACGGTAGTAAGAGACACAGGGAGCAAACACAAAAGCAGGTGCTATGTTTCTTAGCTAGCTGCAAATGCTTCAATAAAAAATAAATTGATACATCTATCCATGAATATATAGTGTAAAGTTGTATACATATAATAAATGCTCATAAACTAATAAAGGCTTCATTCATTCATTCATAATAAGTAGATTAAAGTGACATTGAGTGGACAAATATATATGCATACATGTGAGACTGTACATAGCTGCGAGTCCTAGTGCTAGTATAAACATTTATCACATTAGATTACACATAAGTGCCTTTAACTTGCAGATTTGATGATATGTCTTGTATATAAAGAAGTGTTTATAAAGAAGATAAATATACAGTGCCTTGCAAAAGTATTCGGCTCCCTTGAACCTTTCAACATTTCGCCATATTTCAGGCTTCAAACATAAAGATATAACATTTTAATTTTTTGTCATGAATCAACAACAAGTGGGACACTATCGTGAAGTGGAACAAAATGTATTGGATAATTTAAACCTTTTTGACAAATAAAAAACTGAAAAGTGGGGCGTGCAATATTATTCGGCCCCTTTACTTTCAGTGCAGCAAACTCAGTCCAGAAGTTCAGTGAGGATCTTTGAATGATCCAATGTTGTCCTAAATGACTGATGATGATAAATAGAATGCACCTGTGTGTAATCAAGTCTCTGTATAAATGCACCTGCTCTTTGATAGTCTCAGGGTTCTGTTTAAAGCGCAGAGAGAACCATGAAGACAAAGGAACACACCAGGCAGGTCCGAGATACTGTTGTAGAGAAGTTTAAAGCTGGATTTGGATACAAAAAGATTTCCCAAGCTTTAAACATCTCAAGGAGCACTGTGCAAGCAATTATATTGAAATGGAAGGAGTATCAGACCACTGCAAATCTACCAAGACCCGGCCATCCCTCCAAACTTTCATCTCAAACAAGGAGAAGACTGATCAGAGATGCAGCCAAGAGGACCATGATCACTATGGATGAACTGCAGATAACTACAGCTGAGGTGGGAGAGTCTGTCCATAGGACAACAATCAGTCGTGCACTGCACAAATCTGGCCTTTATGGAAGAATGGCAAGAAGAAAGCCATTTCTCAAAGATATCCAAAAAGTCTTGTTTAAAGTTTGCCACAAGCCACCTGGGAAACTTTTTGGCCACAATGCAAAATGATATGTTTGGCGTAAAAGCAACACAGCTCATCACCCTGAACACACCATCCCCACCTCAGCTGTAGTTATCTGCAGTTCATCCAGAGTGATCATGGGCCTCTTGGCTGCATCTCTGATCAGTCTTCTCCTTGTTTGAGATGAAAGTTTGGAGGGACGGCCGGGTCTTGGTAGATTTTCAGTGGTCTGATACTCCTTCCATTTCAATATAATTGCTTGTACAGTGCTCCTTGAGATGTTTAAAGCTTGGGAAATCTTTTTGTATCCAAATCCAGCTTTAAACTTCTCCACAACAGTATCCCAGACCTGCTTGGTGTGTTCCTTTGTCTTCATGGTTCTCTCTGCGCTTTAAACAGAACCCTTAGACTATCAAAGAGCAGGTGCATTTATACGGAGACTTGATTACACACAGGTGCATTCTATTTATCATCATCAGTCATTTAGGACAACATTGGATCATTCAAAGATCCTCACTGAACTTCTGGACTGAGTTTGCTGCACTGAAAGTAAAGGGGCCGAATAATATTGCACGCCCCACTATTCAGTTTCTTATTTGTTGAAAAAGTTTAAATTATCCAATGAATTTTGTTCCACTTCACGATTGTGTCCCACTTGTTGTTGATTCATGACAAAAAATTAAAATGTTATATCTTTATGTTTGAAGCCTGAAATATGGCGAAATGTTGAAAGGTTCAAGGGGGCCGAATACTTTCGCAAGGCACTGTAGGTTTGTGTGGAATGTTTTCTAATTACTGTAAATCATATGAGGCATAAAAACCCAGGGAAAATCTCGTGGCAACCAAAGTTAGGGGAGAGGGCTTCAATGAGTGAAATTAGCTTTGATTGGGTAGTTCAGCCTGGAATCTTAATGTGATGTTAAAAGACAGAAAAAGGAAAAGATGTTGATGGGAAATGGTGATTATGTCTCGAGGAGGAGAAAAAAAAAGATTTGTCTGGCTCCGGAATTCATGTGGTCAAGACAAAGAAGACATGGAACAAGTCTTTTAATAGATGGGTAATTGGAGGCATGTCTCACGAGTATGAGAATACTTTTGAACACATTGAATAGTTTGTTTGATAGTGAAAATTTGAGTTAAAAAAGAGATTATCCGGGATATTTAAGGGACATTTATTGACATTTCTGGGCAGTGGTCATCGCCCTCTAATTTGTTATTATTGCATTTCATGAGTTGGAAAGGTTTGATTCTCTGATCTGTTGTTGGCGAATCGACCACTTTGTTAAGTCCTCAGCAACATGACGGCTGTTGTGTTTCAGAGGTAAATTGAATGACTATATACTAGCTAAAGACAGAATGTATTTGCATTGTTTTCTTTTTGAGTATGGTGAAGGTAAAGCTGTTTAAAGAGTCTACATGCAATGCAAATATATATTGTAAAACACATGTACTTGTTTAGTAATTCTGCAAAAAACGTATGCATTTCCTCCACAGTCCACTCCTAATAAAAAGCATCCAATCAGAGACGAGTTGACAATTATCAATTGTGAAATATGTGTAATTAATTGAACAACACATTTTAGCCCCATTAAGAGTTTGAGAAGGAGATTGGAACCATGGCTGCATAAATCAACTTCATAACATGTTTAATATATTCAGAAGGGGAAAACGAACATACACTATATCCTGTATAGAAGGAAGTGCATATGGAAAGAGGATCCGAACTTACGAGACAAATTTTCCCAGTTCCACTTGGATGATGGCATTGTGGAGGTTTACTTCCAACAGCTGAGACTCAGCCAGAGCCTGGGCTCCTTCCACAGGTTTGTTGGCTTGAGGAGAGAAGATCCGCAGCATCCCCATGTAGCTGCCCACCACCACCTTATCTGCAGCGCACAGGAGAAACAAGTGTACCAGTGGAAAACATCACAAAAACGAGATTTTTATACTTAATGTTATAAAATGCTTACTTATACTAAATAAAACAGATTTCAAAGGTTTTCTGTCATATGTGAAGGTCCGCCATAAAAGTTTCCTCGGATTTCACACAAATGTATATACTTTGTTTTTTTATTGTTATTTTATAAAGATGGAAGTGAACCATGTCAATTTAAACCCTTACACACTAATGTTTACTATCTGCTTTTAAATATAGACAAAAATGTCTACATGTTGTCCAGCTACAGCCGTGCTAAGTTAGAAGACATACGTAAATGTGTGCTTAATGGCTTTTTGTTATTGTGTCGCCACCTACAGGAGAAAACCAGATCCCGACAGACCTCTAAAGCTAGGGGCAGGGCCTGGTTAGCCAAGAATGAGTGGAGTGTGTGAATGGTTGGTGGGGGGGCTATTATCACATACTGGTTGCATACCTTCTATCAGTGTACTCTGGGGCAGCTGTGACTACTGTAGTTGTTTATGTTTCTGTGTATGGAGTGAATGAGTAATGCTGTGAAGAGTCTTGTAGTGTCCAAAACAGCACAACGTATAAAACTGATGCATTATTAAGATAAGATAAGATTGCTTTATTTATCTCACAGAGGAGAAATTTACATGTCACATTTGGCATGGATAGAGACACTCAGATTGTGCAAAGGGAGGAAATGTGCAATTATTATTATTATGTCAAGTAGCAAAACACTTTGGCGTCCTCTATTGTATATCATATTATGCCCTGAAACACACACCATGTCCAGTCCCGCTGTTGTCCACATCGCCAACACACAAACATCCTTGGTCGAACTCTTCCCCTTCGCCCAGAATTGATGACCACCAATCGCGGGCTTTGAACAGAGACATGCCACTGCTGAATGAAGAGAGAGAATACAATGAACACATACAGATGGTAACACGGTCAGACACATTTATTCACTGCATCGTTCTATTAAAATGAAACTCCTCCTCATATGCTGCTGTTTCAGTAGAACAGTATAAGAGTCATGTGACCAGGATTGATAGAATGGTGGAGTGGCGAGGGGTAGGCGGGGGCAAGAAGCTTTTCTCCTTGCGAAGTGCTGAGCAGGTGGAACAGGCAGTTAATCCAGTGAGGAACTCTACGCTCCAGTAAAATATACACACATTTTGTATCTTCCTTCTATTTGTCTTTTATTGCATGCATCATTTATATAATGAACAACACTAATACAATATGTACTAAATTAAATCACCTTGTAGTACATATAAGTGGGGTGTAGGGCAAGACATCAACAAGACTATATATTTGTTGGAATGTGTGCATGTATGTATGTAACGGTGCATAACGAAGATAACGTTAATGCAATGGAATCACAGGACATTAAATAGTATATACAACTATGCATAAGTGTTAAAATACACTTATTGACGAATACGTGTGGAACAAGAATCGTTTGAAACATTTTAGTTTTTACCTTTGAGAATCATCACATCACGTAGTAGATAACTGACGTGTATAATCTATCTTTCAGAGTCAGTGTCATGTCCACAGGTGGTTCATTTGATGATTCAGGCTATTATCGTCTCCTGTCTCAATAACTTTAGCTTAGCCTGCTAAGTCCCTCATGATTCTCTTTTGCAGCTACTGTGTGCCGAACTAGCTTGTGGTTAAAGCTGTTGTACAAAGCTAGATGTTTACCTCAACTTTAAGTTGATTCTAAGAGTCCACGCTTCAGTGGGAGCTGGATAATACCGGAATGTTCACGCAAAAATCACATTTCTGAGTGGAGCCTTTTCGCTAGCAGCCATCGTCCCGTTGTCATGGCACTGACGCTCACTGAAGCCGGGCTGGACTGCGCATGTGCAAAAACAGAGAGCATGCTGGGATTAAGAGTCTTATGTTTCAAATGAGATGGGAAATGATCATGGATGGAATTAATTATAAAAAAAAATATATGATATAATTATATTATTATTATTATATATTATTATTATTTGATATTTGTGTTAAATGTTTGTGTAAATATGTTATTGTATATATGAAAAAATGTTTTTTTTAAATTGTGTCATGTGTGCGGGAGCAGTAGGCATTCACCCAACTTGTTTTGAAATCAAATGGTCAAAAGGTTAAAGGGCTAAATAGATTTTTTTGAATGTGTTAAATGTGTCGAATATAAAACTAACTTTACCGCAGTTCTTCTGGGTGCATTTCCTATCCGCAGGTCTGGTAAACCGTTAATATAATACATCCATGGGTAAACCGTATGTTTACTTCCTTGTTTTGCACTCACTGTTCATGCCAAATCCGCCATCGATATGAATTGATTTTACAGGTATCCGAGCAAAGCATGTTGGCTTGTTGAACTGTACAATTTTGAGTACATGTATTTTTGTAAATCTTGAAGTATTCTTTGACTTCTCTGTTTTTTTGTGACAGCGTCACTGACTTGCCTCGGATCAGACGGGGAGTGCCATGTGAGTAGAAATCTACATTTTCTCTTCAGTCTGCTTATTAAATGTATATTATATATAGTTGTTGTCACTTCCCCACAGGCTGAAATGTTGATATTTGTGTTCATTTAGAAAACATGGGCGACAACGAGGCTCTCCGAGAAGTTTTGTTAGAAATTACTTCTGACAAAACCTCGTTAGAAAAGTTGAAATGGAGCGTCGGCATTTCTTTGCGCTGGATCATCAGCCAGCTCCACAGTTTGGACAAGTACAAAGTCATGGAGCTGATGCACAAAAGCTCAGAGGAATGTTTTCACCTGGCTATGAAGATTTTAGAATCACAAGGAAACCCAGTGGCGTTAAAGGCACCAGAAGCTAAAGATATCTCAGGTAATTCTTCATAAAGACTGAGCTGGCTTTGAAACAATCTCTCAAAGAACAAAAACATTTGAGTACTGATCTAGGGCTGCATTCATCATTCAACTTATAGAAGGGGAAAAGACCATAATGAACAACATTACTAATTTGAGAGTTATTACACTTTTGTGTGGCCCTGAAATGATTGAATTATTAAGATAAACTTGCAGCATTGATGGTAAGAGGAGCCCTGGCATGTTATACCTCATTTTGAAGCTTTTCAGAAATAAATCAGGAAATTTAATCTATTCTAAAATTTGAATCCAACAAATAATTACAAATAGGTGAATAATAATAATAAAAAAATTGATAATTCTAAAACTAGCTAACAATGTTAATAATAACATGCAACAACAGGTCACAGCAGTAAAGGTGGAGTAGGCTCTGGGTGGAGCAGTGTATATTTTGTGTATAATATCTGTTGTACAGAAGTCTGCTGAAAACCTTCTTATGAACGTGAGGCTGATTTTTAAATGTTATTAAACACAGTTTTACACCTTTTCAGAATACACCTGGAAGATGTTTTTGCATGTACAAAGTTTGACATGGGACGAATACAACACATTTGTCTCCTCAATGGGAGAGGAGTTAGAACAGATCTGGAAACGCAGACTGGATGCAGCGGACCAGTCCCAGACAGTGCAGCTGGTGGAGACTCTGTTCCATCAAGACCCGATTGCATTCTCTCTGATCCTGGAGGAGATGTGTGCTCTGAAGGTCATACAGAAGTTTGCTGATGCCAAAGGAGCAGGAGGTAAGGCACCTGAAACTCTCTGATATGAAGTATACAAATTAACTCAATATAAAGGGTGTGAACAAACGTGGCAGGGAAGTTTTATTTGTATAGCACAATTCATGCACAGGTAAAGCAGAGCGCTTCACAAAACACAAGCATCAAAATCATCCACAGATAAATCAATGAATAATCATCGCAGATGTGATGTGTAAATCTAACCCTTCAATTGTATGTACAATTTGTATAACATTGTTTTGAGCTTTGGACAGACTTTAACATAATCAGAGTAGAAGCCTGTCACACATTTTCTGGAAGACTGTTCCAGATTTCAGCTACATAAATATGAAATGTTGACTCCCCTAAGTTTATACCCGACTCTGGGCACCAGCAGGAGGCCAGTCCCTGTGCTCCTCAGAGTCTGAGCAGGAGACCAGTCCCTGTGCTCCTCAGAGTCTGAGCAGGAGACCAGTCCCTGTGCTCCTCAGAGTCCCAGCAGGAGGCCAGTCCCTGTGCTCCTCAGAGTCCCAGCAGGAGACCAGTCCCTGTGCTCCTCAGAGTCCCAGCAGGAGGCCAGTCCCTGTGCTCCTCAGAGTCCCAGCAGGAGGCCAGTCCCTGTGCTCCTCAGAGTCCCAGCAGGAGACCAGTCCCTGTGCTCCTCAGAGTCCCAGCAGGAGGCCAGTCCCTGTGCTCCTCAGAGTCCCAGCAGGAGGCCAGTCCCTGTGCTCCTCAGAGTCCCAGCAGGAGGCCAGTCCCTGTGCTCCTCAGAGTCTGAGCAGGAGGCCAGTCCCTGTGCTCCTCAGAGTCCCAGCAGGAGGCCAGTCCCTGTGCTCCTCAGAGTCCCAGCAGGAGGCCAGTCCCTTTGCTCCTCAGAGTCCCAGCAGGAGGCCAGTCCCTGTGCTCCTCAGAGTCCCAGGAGGAGGCCAGTCCCTGTGCTCCTCAGAGTCCCAGCAGGAGGCCAGTCCCTGTGCTCCTCAGAGTCCCAGCAGGAGGCCAGTCCCTGTGCTCCTCAGAGTCTGAGCAGGAGGCCAGTCCCTGTGCTCCTCAGAGTCCGAGCAGGAGACCAGTCCCTGTGGTCCTCAGAGTCCCAGCAGGAGGCCAGTCCCTGTGCTCCTCAGAGTCCCAGCAGGAGGCCAGTCCCTGTGCTCCTCAGAGTCCCAGCAGGAGGCCAGTCCCTGTGCTCCTCAGAGTCCTCCTTGGTTCACAAAACATATATCACAAATGTAATTTGGTGCGAGGAGAGACTTGTAACAATCAGAGCTAAATAGTGTGAAATAAAAGCTACTTCTTAAGTAACTGTAAAATATTTAGATAATAAATTCAAGTATAATCAGCGTTCCTGTGGCCAATTAAAATCCTTGCAGCTGAACTTTGAACAAACTGCAAAAGAGTAAATAATAAATGTCTTTAGATATGTAAACGCTGTTAGTTTAGCTGCAAGGATACAAAAGAATCATCTTGAGCTCATCGTGATTTTAATTGTTTGTGAAGCACTTTTAAAAACTCATACAAATATAAATGTCCTCTGATTATGAGCCTTGTTTTTGTCTTCTAGGAGCAAGTGAAGTATTTGGAAAATTGAGTGACAGAGAATTGGACAAACTAAGGCCTTATTTGAAGTACTATTTGCCGCACATTTCTTCTCATGAACTTAAGAAGACCGGTGGTGACGGCATCGTCCGCCTGATGGAGAAAAACGCACATCTCAGCTTCAAAGAGATGATTGAAAAAGTGTTGAAGCGAATGGACAGGACTGACCTCGTGTGGAGGTTATCACCTCCATCAGAGCAGCAGGACCCTCCATCAGAGCAGCAGGACCCTCCATCAGAGCAGCAGGACCCTTCATCAGAGCAGCAGGACCCTCCATCAGAGCAGCAGGACCCTCCATCAGAGCAGCAGGACCCTCCATCAGAGCAGCAGGACCCTCCATCAGAGCAGCAGGACCCTCCATCAGAGCAGCAGGACCCTCCATCAGACCAACCAGGTAACTTTACACACTTTCACTTTTGTTCTTGCCTGTCTGTTCAAAAGCCACATTTAAAGTGTTTGTATTAAAAAGTGGTGGATAAGAGACAAAAGGGATGCAAGAATTGCGTTTTCGTTTCACATGAGCTACTGATTTTGTTTTTTTCACCGTGCCTTCACAAGTTTGAAGAAGGAACCATGGAGGACCACAGTTATGTAAAAGAACCATGGAGGACCACAGTTATGTAAAAGAACCATGGAGGACCACAATTATGTAAAAGAACCATGGAGGACCACAGTTAAATAAAAGAACCATGGAGGACCACAGTTATATAAAAGAACCATGAAGGACCACAGTTATGTAAAAGAACGATCCGAACAACAATCTTTTAGAAAAATAATTATGCAGAAGTCCAGCGTCATAGAAGCAAAGTGTCGACATCGCAAACCACACACACCGAAAGACAGCGTTAACACAACAGGAGGCACATTGTGTAGTTTGTACACAACAGACTCACACATGAACAATGCGTAACTTTTTCACACTGACAATAATGAGAACGAGGCAGAATCTGCAACATAGTCTCAGGATGTTCTGACCCGATCCAAGCGCAGTCCAAGAATCACAGAATCCCCACAAAACAATCACCAGAATACTTTATCTGCAGCGTGAGCGAATGTTGTGTTTTCTTTCCGTGATGCAAAGAGGACGCTGCGGCTAACGCTAATGCTAACATGAGCTTTGCCATGTCCTCCGCGGCTGTGTATATCTCCTGCTTCTTTGATCATCGTTATTTTAAGCTCCCACAGACGTTTTTCCTCCACGCGTCTCTTCTCTTGACACCGTGTTTGTAAAACTATATAATGTAATTAGAGGTGCACCGATTGATCGGTGACCGATTATAATCGGCCGATCACGGCTTAATTTGCGCGATCGGTGATTGGTGAAATGTGCCGATCAAAAAGACCGATCAGATGACATGAGGATTCATGCGCACAAGTTACTTTCTCTCGTCAAAATTGCGTAAACAAGCAACTCGTGCAGCTATCAGTTACGGAGATTCTACAGCGGCAATAACCACACAGTAATGTCGGAAAGAAACAACACGAAATATGCACCAAAGTTATGGAATTTATTCCCCTCTGCCCCCAGCCCTCGTCTGTTGCGGAAAGCGCTGGGTTCAAACGACTCATGTCCACTGCTTCAATATGCATCGTGGAAATATTTGACTGATGTCTGCCTTCCGCAGCTTTACCAAACTGTATATTCTCACATTGACACTCCAAGCCCAGCCAGAGCATGGATCTATTATAATAACGAGCCAGAGACACCGCGCAGACTCCAAACACAGCAGCGAGACGCTGAACTCATCCCGTGTCGGGACTTTGCATGTTATGTTCACAGATATGTTGGATTAAGATGAGTGTAGTGGTAGTACAGACAGTCCTACAGACAGTCCTACAGACAGTCCTACAGTGTCACAGATGCAGCGTTACTTAGCGAAACTACGTAGTTACGCCTCGGAGCGCACAGCGCTTGTTTATTGAAAGGAAAATAAAAGCCGCTTCCCTGCATTGGCCAAAGCAGCGCTCTGCGCTCCATGCACAAGTGTAGACAGTGAGCGGCTGTTTACGCAGCGGGACTATTCAGGATGATAAACGTAATAAACTAACCCCTGCTACTGCTGAGATGCTAATATTACTGAAGAAAAAACATTGCCTTAAACATCTCTTTTTATGTAGTTTAGAAATGCAACCTATACAGTATTGCTGTATTTCATTGCATTTTTTTCATGTATCTCAATGCTCTGTAACGTATACTTGTGGTTCCCAACCTTTTTGTCTCGAGTACCCCTGGGGCATTTTATTTATACTACCTAGTATCTTGATGGTTTTGAAAGATTAGTGATAAAGTGAATAACTAGTCCTATTCATGTATCACTAATATTATCAATATTTGATCGGATCAGCAATGATCGGTATCGGGAGATCAACATTTTAATGACCGTGATCGGCCCAAAAATTCCTGATTGGTGCACCTCTAAATATAATAGATCCATGGTAAAACTCTGTGCAGCAGGTGCCGCTTCAGAACGGTCTTGTTTACAAGTCGCCTCCACGCGCCTGTCAAGTACCCGAGACGTCTAGAGAGATCCGGTCATTTATCAAACTAAAGTATTCTTTCCTTGGCAGTCTGGTGAATGACAGAGTTGAGGTGCTCCTCAAGTCTCCTGGCTCAAAAGTGGCCAAAATGACGTGCACTGACATGCTTGCAATACCACCCCGGGCCGATGGGGGTGGACCCAGAATGAGAATTATTCAATGCTGACATATAGCATTGGCAGACCTCTCGAAAACGTCTTTACAGGATGGTCCAAAAGTTGGCTCTTGGCCCAAAGCTCCGTTCCACATGTGTGTCAATACTGAGGGGGGTGGATTTTTTTGGACCAGTCTAGTTTAGTCGCTGTGATTTTTTTGAAGGCACTCGTTTAAATGAATGGGGCTTGTGCCGGCTGACGCATGCGCAGATGTGGTTTTTCACATTTTCCAGCCCCCTCAGCCATTTTGAAACTTCCCATTGACCACGGAAGTTGTGGCACATTAGTTAGAACGGCGGAGACTACATCTGTTAATATTCACAGTCTATTGTCACAACACAGTCAAAATTCTCTCAAGTCTCTCAAGGTGTGGAAATCTCTAAAAGTATCTGCAAAAACACATCTGCCTCCAACAATTAGCGCACTTGTACTGAAAACAAGCCCTGTTCGACGTCGCATTGCTGTTTTATTGGCTCATGAGCTGTTTCAATGGCTGCAGGCTCATCTGCATGAAAATGTAAAAAGTTAATTTAGTCTTCTTTGTTCTTTTAATAAGACAAGAAAGTAAAGAAAGCTAGTACTCCTTAATTACCTGACATTTTTCGGCGGTAGACTTCCGCCTTCATCAGGGGTGACACGTTATGGTGCGACGAGTCTCTTATCAGCTGTTGTTGCCGGATGCGGTCAGTCTGACAGATCTCACAGATCCCACCTGGTGTTCTCAGAGGTGTTCAGAGGTCTGGCGGGATCTGGCTTTCGCATGCAAGTATGGCCACAATAATGATAGATATTACTGAAAACAAGCTAAGTTAAAAACATGCACGTTCTCTGCGGCCTGAGCTCCTCCGAGGGCCATAGAGCTGGAAAGAAGCCTCAGACTCTGATTCAACCCAGTGTGATTGACTGGGAATAAGATCATTCCAATGTCAACCGATGCTCCAGTCTCAGGACTTAGAATCCACACAGGATTTAATCTACTCTATTCACTGCTATTCATGCATGGCGCCGTAAAGATGGCGCCGTGGCAAGAGCTCTGGTGTGTGTCGTCTGGTGCACACTGGGGTAGTCTTGCACAGTTTTTCCTATGTGGTTTTACTGCAAATGGCAAATAAATGAATCTGAATCTCTGCTCCACAGGACGTGGTCAGGACCCTTTATTTCAATATCAAGGTCCTTCTCCTACAGCATCTGCCAGATATGAGCCTCTCATTGGTCAGATTCGTGGCAAGAAATATTTTATTCCATCAGGTCAGACTGAGATGAATACACACATATTTCTGTAATATAAGAATACTTTGTGCAGTGATTTCCAGTTTTGTTTTGTTTTATGCCAACAGACCTACGTCATGTAATGTACCAAAAGGTAAGAGTTATCCACAGGTGGGGGTGGAGTGTCCTGGTGGGTTTCCTCCTGAGCACTGCCCAAGATCTGGAGACGAGGGTTTGGGTTTTAGGGGTTCAGACAAGAAAAAGGAACAGGTGAAGGCTGAGGACAAATTCCCCAAGAGAGTGTACCTTCGAGAGTTTGTTTGATTATAACTCAAATTGTCATTATAAAGATCACAAACTTTATTTCAAAACGTATGTAAATGATGCAATAAACAAGATATTAAATAAGCAGAAATAACCATTTGAAAAAGATGTTGGACAAAGAAAAGGCTTATTCAACACAACTCTACACACGCACACAAGGCCCAGGCCCAAACACTCTGACCACACACCTCTCTCTCACTAGTGTGGGTCTGTCTGCGTAGTGGGAGAGAGTTGCAGCCCCTGGTCTGTAACTTGGTTAAATGGCTTCACATATGGAGAGAAATTTGTTTTTTAATGTGTAATATTGCAGAAGACTCTTGTCAAGGCAATAATAGTCTTGTGCAGCAGGTTGCGGAGCGTCCACCAGAAATATTATTCAATCAAACTACCCATTTGTTATACAACAATAACCAGGTGTCATTAGAGGCAGAAAATAGATACTGCACTTTCTACCTTTTCAAGGCACTCAAAGCACTTCACAATCACCCACACAGTCATGCACCAGTGTACACAGACGCTGGGGGATAGGGGGATTAAGTGTCTTGCCCAAGGACACAGCAGCAATCACCAATGGGAGCTGGTTTTACACCCCCAACCTGCGGGTCAGTCAATGTGACTGCTCAACCAAAGATATTAGGTCAGGAGCAGGATTCAAACTGCCAACCTTGTGCTCAGTGGAGACTTCAGAATCCCTAAGAATTATTGTTGTTATTACTCTTTAATTTTGCAGATGTGGTCAGACTTTAAAAAGTTGTTAGTCTGGTCAAAGACATCGCGGAAGAAATTTGAGAAAACGTTACCTGTGCTGTTGAAAGAAAGAAGAGCCCCCCCTGCAGGCCTGGAGAGAGAGTACACTGTGCTCAGTGTGTTCCTGCAGCACGGTCTGCAGACTCTGTATAAAGTGGCTCTAGTTTTGTCCAACATGGGTCTGAGAGACGAGGCACAGAGTCTGATCCACACTCATCCTCAACACAGCGGTAAGATTATCCATGATTTCACACATGTGACTCTCTCAGATTAGATTCATAATCAAGACATATATTGTTTTTCATTTTCTGGAATTTGTTTGGCTTTTTGTTGCAGCAGATACAAGGTAAGCCAAATTAAGCCTTTTTATCCTTATTTGTTTCATCATGTTCAAATCAGTGGGGGCGGGTCCCAGCTCAAAAGTTTCCAAAATGACGTGCGCTGACATGCTGCAATACCACCCCGGGCCAATGGGGGTGGACCCAGAAGTAGAATTAGCCAATGCTAACATATAGCATTAGCAGACCTCTCAAAAACGTCTTTACAGGATGGACCAAAAGTTGGCTCTTGGCCCAAAGCTCCGTTCCACATGTGTGTCAATGCTGAGGGGGGTGGATTTTTTGGTCCACTCTAGTTTACTCGCGGGGAATTTTTGAGGTTTGAGCGTCAGCCGGCGCTGCTCCATTCATTTGAACGAGAGACTTAAAAAATTAAAACTTCAAAAAAAATTCACCCCCCTCAGCATTGACACACATGTGGAACGGAGCTTTGGGCCAAGAGCCAACTTTTGGACCATCTTGTAAAGACGTTTTCGAGAGGTAAGAAGACGCTACATGTTAGCATTGGCTAATTCTTATTCCGGGTCCACCCCCATTGGCCCGGGGTGGTATTGCAGCATGTCAGTGCTAGTCATTTTGGCCACTTTTGAGCCGGGACCCGCCCCCACTGGTTCAAATGCCAACGTTAAAACAAGGTTAGGCAGCATTATTTTTTCAGTGAATCCCTTTTACAATGTCAAGTTTGTTATTTTTTATGTAACCTTGATTTAACAGGAAAAGTCCTTATTTGTCCCAGACAAAGAAAATATTTATTTGCTAAACTAAATTAAAGTAAAAAATCTAACATTTATTGGCACTTTGTTAATACAATATTAAATACAGTATTTGTAGAGCACAGGTGAAGACCACTCTAGTGTCATGTTGACCATTTAAAAGCCTTTAAATAAAGATCCTTGTCTGGATAATATTCAGTTTTGGACTGCCTGGATTGTTCTGAGTTTTATAGATATTCTTGTGTTTGAATCGTCAGGTGATACAGGATCTTGTAACCAGAGAGTGGCTCCTGGACACTGTACATGAACTGAGCTTCAGAGAGATGAGCCACTTTGAGTGGTTTGTCCAGTTCACCTGCCTCCAGCGGAACATGTCATGGACAGACCTGGAGTGTGAACGCCAAAGAGAGGAATCTGAGATCATGACATCTGCTGGTAGCCCTCTGACCACTAAAGAGGCCTGTGCTGCTCTGATGAGGGCTGCGGCGGTGCTGCACGGTCGTCAGGCGGAAACTTTGATGGAGTCTGTATTCAGGAATAGGAACAGGGGTGACCTAGTAAGAAGACAGTGGCCTGCCTCCTCAGGTACTTCTCTTTTTAATACCTCATTTATTTATACATGTTTTTCATTACAAATTGAACAAACTACACCGTACACATAATTATTAACAATCAGTCATAAGCTTAATTATGACAGCAGTGGGAATGAATTTGCATTTTAATAAATCCTTTAAAACATTTTAACATGTAGAAGATTCTTTAGAAACTAAAATGTTCCCACTATTGGACTATTGCATTTCCTTCTGTATAAAAAATCCTCAAGACAAAAGGGTGTGAAAACACTGACATATGCACTGCAAGATCTCAGACGTCCTCTGTAATTATCACAAATTACCAGGGGTCCTCATGTAAAACTAATCCCGTCCGAATAGGGCTTTTCACAGTAATTTATCCAGTAAGTAACTAAAGTAACCTTTATGACATGTGTAATTATATTGGTCCATCCAGATTCTTGGTTGTCGGGCAGAAGTCTGGCCAGAAGTCTGAGCAGAAACTCACGCACAAACTCAGTCTCCACACACTTCCTCCAGCTCCTCCGGGAATACCCCTAAGGTCGTCTCTTCCATGTGAGACATGCCACTCAGCTAGCTTGACGTAGAGAAGCAGCGGCTCTACTCCGAGCTCCACCCACATGCATGACTGAACTCATTCCCACAAGATAAGCAATGTCTAATTTTCACTGACATCTGACATAACGGCCGCATGTGGGTCGCATATGGAGAGAAATGTGGGTCTCTCTGCTTCACGCAGTTCATAAAGACTGGCGTCTGACCACAGCAGCCACAGAGACCATGAGGACAAACACATACATGTGGATTTTACTGCTCTAGTTCTCTGGCCTGTACTTTCTGTACAGACTACCCGCGAACGTCAGACATGAGCCGAAAAATGGTAACGGCTGCAGCAACACGTCTGTAGTGTATTAGGACAGAGTGCAAAGTATACATACGAACGCAACCCATCGGTCTGATCCTTTAGTGTCAGTGAACACATTACACTGTCTACACTTCTCCGTAGACCTCACAGAGACAGCAGCAGCCGCGACTCTGCAGGTGTACACCGCGAAACACGACTCCTCTGCTCATTGACAAATCACAATCACTGACATGCAGATTCTCACGGGATAAGTATTATCAGAGGACGTCTGTGTTTGGACAAATACAGGAGTTCATTTGTGGCGGAATTATTACTTTACAAATTACAGACATGCCGCATTCGTACGGGACTGAGATCTCAGACGTCCTCTGCAATTACAAATTACCAAGGGTCCCCATATACTAATCTAACTAACTAACTAATCCCGTCCGAATAGGGCTTAATAAGGAACAATTGGAAATCAGTAAATGTTGAAAGCCTGATTGTGTTTCCCTGATTACTACATTAGTTATAATCACTGCTGCTCTTGTAATGGCCGGGTTACAGTTAATACCTCCAATTAATTTTAACCACTGATTCTTTAACCATAGCAACGCCACCCTATATTTTAATAGGGAAACTCAAGGACGCGCACGTCCGTGATTGAGTGGACCAAGAGACACAGATAAGAAAATGATTCGATTTATTCACATTAACGTTAGAGATACACTTTTACAAAAACAAGGTTTTGGTTCTTTTAAAATTAGATCTACACAATTATTTAATATCATTAGGCAAAGATTAAAACATTATCCCAAAATACATTAAAATATTCAAAACATCATCCCCAAATGCCAACTCCCACAGTCCACTGTCCTACCGGAGGCTCGCGCTGGTCCGCACAGTGACTGGCCTGGCGCGCGCGTCAGCGCGTACGCTGGTATAGCTGGGCAGCTGTCCGGTCCGTCCGAGTCCCAGTCCCGTCAGAGTCCTAGTCCAGTCCGGGTCAAGTCAACCGTTGAGAGGACAGGGGCCCGCGGACTGGGTGCACTCTGGCCAGTACCAGCCGCTGGCTCAAATGGGAGAGGAGAGGAGCGGATGAAGAGGGTGAAGGAGAGACCCGCTTGGAATACAGTCCTAAAAGTTAGACATTTCGGTGATTAAATCCTGCATTGGGGTGGAAACATGCAGCATTCCAAGAAACCATATTTCCCAGGCACTTACCCAAATTAAAATGCTTCAGTGCGGCACCGACCATTGGAATGGTTTGACCCGAAGCCAAACTAAAGAGTAATGAATAAATTAAATAAATCCGATGAAATAATTAAAGGAAGGCCTTACCGGAGTTGAGCACAGCCACAGTGCCACAGGCTGGTGCACCTGTTGTGCGTAAGCACTTGCCTGACGCTGCGCACTGTAACCAGCGCAAGTTAGAAAGGACTCAATAAAAGTTGATATTGTGCGCACAGGGCAGCTTACCGGGGCTGTTTGGTGGAGTGGCCTGCAGCATGAGCCACGAGATTAGAGCCAAGCCATACGTTGCACTGTGTAATGCGAACTAGGGAAATGGAGCATTTTAGTCCACCACAGTACCACTTTATTGAATAAACGCAAATACTCACTGAAGAGCAAGTGAGGCTCCAGCTCATGCTGCTGCAAGCTCCCAGGCAGTGGGTGACGTAAGAGGCAAGAGGGAGCGCAGGTGCGCTAACTACCTATTAAAGGGTGAGGCGGTACGCGATAGGCTACCAGCGGCTCAAGGGGCCTACCACCACACTCTCCTTTATTGTTAAATGTGTGAATTATTCTCTCCTTAATTCAGGGATGAACTTGTTGCGATTTGGGGACGGACTGAAAGTCACAGTGAGTATGGTCTTGTGTTCCAATGTTCAAACTGATCAACATCTGTAAATGATGTGTTGGTTTTATTCAGATAAAGGAAATGGAGGCTTTGATCAACAGTCTTATGCACACGCTCCGAGGTCTAAGTGTGTCTGAACTCATGGACCTGAAACGTGCACTGAGCACCAGTGAACACTCAGACACACTGCGGGACCATTACCACACCTCCCACCTGGTCTTGTCTATGGTTCAAACACACGGGAAAGGATCTGTGGAGCTCACCAAGAACTTACTCGAGTCAATCGGGAGAAAGGATCTGCTGCCACAGCTGACCTCTGAAGCACGTGGTATGTTGTGTGGGTCTGTTCTTGTGTTTGTTTAGTTCTATCTGTAATTGTTTCTTTTTCAGAATATTCTAAAGATCTTTGGTGGCGTTCACTTATCAACAAAGTGAGTGGATGTTTATTTTACAAGCATTACAAGCAAGGGGGGTGCGAGGCCCTGTGCGATGGCACAGATCGCACAGGGCCTCCGACGGGCCTGATTACAGTACTGTCTCTCTGCATACGTCCTGAATCTGTGTAATGTACACATGTTAATATGCAGCTACCTCTTTATTTTAAGACATTTGATGTGAAATAGACAAAAGAGGATCCCAAAATGTTACAAGAAACGGGCGACTCAAAATCAATTATAGAAATAATTATGTAGGGAAATGTTTTTGTGAAGCCAGGTCGCTGTATAGATTAAGATTAAGAGATCCTTTATTCGTCCCACAGTGGGGAAATTTCAGTGTTGCATAACAAGTTATAGAACAGTAGGATAATGGAGCACACAGCACAAGATAAATGTACAATAACTATACTAATTAAAATAAAACAAAACAAAGTATGTTTACACCTGTACATTAACAGCAGTATGTTTACACCTGTACATTAACAGCATGAAGGTCAGAGACACAGGGACTCAGTAAAGTGACAATGACATGTGGTTATTGCACATTCTGATATAAGGACATTGCAACGATGCATGACACGTGGGATCAAGTTGGCAGTGTTCGTTAGTCCTCATTGTTTGTTGTACAGTCTGACAGCAGCAGGAAGGAATGACCTGCGGAACCTCTCCTTCACACAGCGAGGATGAATAAGTCTGTCACTGAGGCTGCTCTCCAGAGCAGTGTCCTGCAGGGGGCGACAGTCATGGTCCAGCATAGATGTTAGTTTGCTCAGGACCCTCCTGTCCCCCACCTGCTGCACTGTGTCCAGGGAACAGCCCAGGACTGAGCTGGACTTCCTGATGACCTTGTCCAGCTTCTTCCTGTCCCTCTCTGTATATAAAGTGTCCTGGCGTTGTAACAGCTTGTGAATGAAAATGAGCAGACAAACGTCAAAAGATGTCAATGTTTTTATCAATAAATATTCACAAAGATGAACTGGGCTCGAGGCTGAGGAAAAACTGACAGCAGGCAAAGTCTGGACTAAAGAAAGCCATCCTGGGTCACATGGGAATGGTAGATCCAAGGCACGGTGTCGTGGCCATGGATGTCGGCAGTTTCGAAAGGCAATAGCTTTTCTTGACCGCTCACTTTGTACCACACTTTTTTTCATGTTACTGTTACTCAAAGGCTTTAATAACATCTTCTGAAACTATCATAAGCCGCTGATTTATAATCAAATCCACAAAACGCATCACGTGCCTCCAGGTACACACAAGGTACTGGACCCGCAGTCTTCTCTTCTGAAGTGTTACGGTTTTGGGTCGCTACACTAACAGTACAACAGTAACAATACTCATCCAGGACTAGGTTTGTGGAGTTGCAAGAATAAAACGGGACAGTGTTTTCAGTGCCATAATAACCCTTAAAGCTGAAAGAAAAGCTGTTGTTTGTATACAGTAAAGGCACATGTACACTTATGTTTTTGGTTAAAAGTTGCATACTGTGGCTTTAACTTATTTAAATTAGAACAAACTGTAACTGCAGCTCTAACCATCACCATGAAAACTATCATGAACATCTACAACAATGCACACACATCAAACCACTGGACAAACCTTCACAGTGACTTTATCTAAAGTTTATTTATCTCATTGACTCATTAGCCTTCTACAGTCTGACCTTCTTCTTTTGACCTGCAGGTGGCAGCAGTGGCAGCTGTTACAGAGCTGTTTGGTGAAACGTTGAGTCTGCTGAGACCTGAAGAGCTCAAACAATTCAAGAAACTGTTTGTGCTGCAGACCCTCTTCCATGCACACCCACATGTGGACCTGAAAGTACTGGCCCACGCTACAGCCCGACAAACAGGGGCTCTGCTGTGGCACATGTACGGCTTTGGAGCTTTCAGCACGGCATCTTTGGTTTTAATAGAAATGAAATGTAGTCATGCATCACAAAAGCTTCGATCCACGATAACCTCCCCTCGCACTCGTAGGTTCAAGATAAAATCCACCTTCAATTGACCTGATCTCATTATTTATTATTCTTGTCCCCAGGGAAGATGAAACCTCGAGTGAGTCTGGCATTTCATCTGAACCTTATTTTAAGAATCATTATTACTATAATACTTTATTTTTTGTGCTGAATGTTTTTTTTAATGATGTTATATATTATTTTCTGAACACTTACAGGTGGCAACAGTGAAAAATCTCAGAGAACGTCTTTCCAAATTACTGGCTCGTTTGTCTCGTGAGGAACTGTATGAATTAAAGTGGTGTTTCCAGTTCGAGTACCGTAGAATGGACTATGCTTGGATCCCAGAGTTGGAGACAGATGTGAACAATCTGATTGATCACGTCTTTGAGACCAGTGGCCAGAGCTGCCTGAGCACCATAAGAAGAGTTTTGATTGAAATTGGCCGGTATGATCTGATCGTACACATAGAAGGTAAGGTCTTTATACTGTTGTAATATGCACCGAGTAGATGAGAAGTTACATTTATTCAGAACTCAATGGTTTTCAAGCACTGAAAGGATCCAGAGAACAAATTATTTGAAGTATACTTAAATATATTTGAAATGTGAAATCCCAAGAACTGATTGACACAATTGTTCAACAGGTTGATAAACTTTCTGGTGCTATTATGACTCTTTTTCTTTACCAAAACAGGTGGAAGGCAGAGGTTTCTGTACTACACTTATAGCAACATCGCAGGAGAAAGTCTTCATAAAAAGGTTTAATGTTTTTTTTTTCAGTGTGAAGTAAATTCAAGCAATTTATTTATTAAACTAGGGCATTTAATCATGTCCTATTTCCAGAATCCAAAAGTTCCAACAAATCTGGAAAAAGTTCAACAACAGCTTACTGATGAACTGAAAACACAAACTTTCAGAAAACATCTACAGACCTACTGTGAAAACTATTTATCCAGACGTTTTGTTCGAGACTACATTGGGATACTTCCAGAAACACAGGATTTGGTCGAGTTGCTGGAGGCAGTTTACGGAGAGTCATGTTGTAACGACATAATCCAAACAGTTCTGAAGGATGAAGGAAGACTGGATGAGTCGACTTTCAGCTCCAAAGGTGAACGAACAGTCCAATCAGATCAAAGTTTAAGGTCACACTACATTGTAAAAATCATGGCCATATTCTCATGAAGTGGTCTTGGGTCAGGACTCGAGCGGTAATTAACAATTATTTTGATAATTAATTGATTGGTTGATTATTCTCTGGATTAAAAGTAGTTGGATCCTGAAAGCTCTGTAATTATGGGATTTTTCTACATTTGAACAGCTCCAGTGACGTTTCCCCTAGAGATCATCCTCAGAGAGATGACTTTGATTAATACATTAGTTAACAACCATTTCAATAATCGATTAGTTGTGATTAGCTGCAACTAACTCGTAACAGCTCTAGACTCTACACATGAACTCTTTTTCACCTTATGTTTAAGGAGTTGGACCAAGTGTGGAGCCTGACTCTTGTACTAGTGCTAAGGTAATAGATATTGTGTACATCATCAAAAGCAAAAACATTTAAATTAATATTCATACAGGACTCCTGGACCAAACTTGAGCCGAAAGTGAAAGAAATAAAGAATCAGTCTATATACAGGTAAAATGACAGTTCATGTTTGTTCATGTGCACAGCGTGATAGAAACTGTCTTCTCCTCTTCAGCCTACAGTCGGACATGGGTCAATATGAGTGCAGTGTGTCTGGTCTGCGCTGGAGCTGTGAGGAAAAAGTCAGTTTTGATTTCAAGTTTGGTTTGTGGGAGGAACACATGGAGCGTGTGCAGGCGCTGCAGTACATGCCCGCTGGTCCTCTCATAGACGTCACAGTCACCTCGGGCAGACTGGACGAGGTCTATCTACGGCACTGGGTCTGCGTGGGTGAGTGACACCTTTGTACAGATGAAGAAAGTCTTGTTCTTAACAGATCGTTTTGTGTTCAGATGACCCTGATTTAGCAGAGGAGTTTGCAGTGTTACACGTTGATGATTGTGGAGATATTGTGGAAGAAGCAACAACGGTGACATCGACTCATGTGAAGCTAAAGGAGCCAATATTCTCCCCCAGCTGCAGCGCTGATCAGACTGGGGCTAAAAGTGAAAGTCTTCTGCAGCCTTTTGATTTCCAAAATGAACACCATCTTTGCATCTTTGACTCTCCATGTGTACCTCATCCCACGTGATCCTGGGCTCATAGAGGTGTGCGTTTGTGATTATCTTTTTTATCTTTTGCTATTAGTTATTCCAAAACTCGGAAAAATGTGGCAGGGTTTTTAATCAGGCTTTAAGACATTTTAAATGTACTAGTGTTCAGTTGTGAAATATGTAGCCTAACCTTTTGTGCTTTTAAGTCGTTGAAAAGAGAAGAAAAAGAAAATGGATACAGCATTATCCCAAAACCTGACCCAGATAAGTCTCTAAAATTGAAGACCAAGTTTGTGCTAAAAGCGAAACAAGAGACTGCTGAAATCTGCCCTCAGGTATCTCTTTATAAAGTTTTTAGAGTTATTGTAAAAATGCCATTGTCTTTGATTTGGATTGGATTGATGGATTTTTACAGAAACTAAAACTGAGGTATCAAAGCTCACCAAACTACTTTGAGGTGTACACAAAAAACCCAGAGTTTGACTTGAATCTGGAACTTTCCGAGGAGCAAGAGCACGAAGGCTCAGTCGTGTGGAGTTGTACGATTCGACGAGGTTTGAACATTCAGTTTCTGTCATTTTAATACATTCTTGAGTCACTGAATCCCTGTGACATATGTTTCTTTCAGATGACTACACTGGAGGATCTCTGGGTAATTCTTACTACTTTACTCTTTAAGGCAGAGTATTAGTCCTGTTTAAGATGACACAGTTGGTCGAGGCTCCTGCATGCGGCTGAAGCTGAAAAGTACAGCATTGTGACCTCTGGAGCGCCTTGACCGACTGTGCCATCTTAAACAGACGATTAGGAGTGGACCGACAGAGTGCTGACCCGTAGTGTTTACCGAATGTGGAAGATGCCGATTTGAATATAAGATAGCTGGAGCCAATTACCTTTATATGGGCATTTGTTCTCATGGGATTAGCGACACATCAGGGGAGACGTGTTGCTAATGTGATTGCTAAGGCAAGATGGAGTTTCCCCATATAATGAATGCAACTGGTTCAAAATAAATTGATTTACAAAATAAAAATCAGGATCGTGGAGCAATAAATAATAGTATTTTAAGCCAAAATGAGTGAGACAAACAATTACTGAGCTAGAGGAGTTCACTTGTCAATTTAAGTTAGTAGGAACTAGAGGGAGCAAAACTCTATCCATGAGCACTTCTCTATTGGGCATCATTGAGCTTGAGGGTTAGCATTGTCCAGCTATACAGGCTAAATTTTGGACCTAGGAAACTGGACCGGTAAAGGCTTACGGAGCTCAAGTCTGATCAAATTCTGCCATTTAAAACAATATGATACATTTATTTGGATCTCCATTAACTGCTCAAATAGTCAGTATCAATATTGTGTTTTTTTAATTTCACAATATACCTTAAAAAAATTCAGAATGTGTAGATCTTTCATTAATGCTCATTTCTGTTCTCAGCCGCTCCCCAAACACAGGGTAAGATGATTTGTGTAAATTGGGGAGAACTGTGAAGGATTTTAGTGACTCTTCCTCTTCTGTCCAAAGGAACTCATTTTGTTGACAGGTTTAAGAATGATCTTATTCAGAGAGTGAGCAACGTCAGTCCAATCCTGGATGATCTTAAACATGAAGGAGTGATCAGTGACGAAGCCTACGATAAGATAAGACATCTGTCCACTACTCAGGATAAGATTACTTTTTCCAAAGGAGTTGGACCAAGTGTGGAGCCTGACTCTTGTACTAGTGCTAAGGTAATATATATGGTGTACATCATCAAAAGCAAAAACATTTAAATTAATATTCATACAGGACTCCTGGACCAAACTTGAGCCGAAAGTGAAAGAAATAAAGAATCAGTCTATATACAGGTAAAATGACAGTTCATGTTTGTTCATGTGCACAGGGTGATAGAAACTGTATTCTCCTCTTCAGCCTACAGTCGGACATGGGTCAATATGAGTGCAGTGTGTCTGGTCTGCGCTGGAGCTGTGAGGAAAAAGTCAGTTTTGATTTCAAGTTTGGTTTGTGGGAGGAACACATGGAGCGTGTGCAGGCGCTGCAGTACATGCCCGCTGGTCCTCTCATAGACGTCACAGTCACCTCGGGCAGACTGGACGAGGTCTATCTACCGCACTGGGTCTGCGTGGGTGAGTGACACCTTTGTACAGATGAAGAAAGTCTTGTTCTTAACAGATCGTTTTGTGTTCAGATGACCCTGATTTAGCAGAGGAGTTTAGAGTGTTACACGTTGAGGATCGTAGAGATACTGTGGAAGAAGCAACAACGGTGACATCGACTCATGTGAAGCTAAAGGAGCCAATATTCTCCCCCAGAGCAGCGCTGATCAGAGAGTGGCTACAAATGAAAGTCTTCTGCAGCCTTTTGATTTACAAAACGACCAAAACATTTTTGACTCTCCATGTGTACCTCATCCCACGTGATCCTGGGCTCATAGAGGTGTGTGTTTGTGATAATCTTTTTTATCTTTTGCTATTAGTTATTCCAAAACTCTGAAAAAATGTGGCAGGTTTTTTAATTAGGATTTAAGACATTTTAAATGTACTAGTGTTCAGTTGTGAAATATGTAGCCTAACCTGTTGTGCTTTTAAGTCGTTGAAAAGAGAAGAAAAAGAACATGGAAACAGCATTATCCAAAAACCTGACCCAGATGAGTCTCTAAAATTGAAGACCAAGTTTGTGCTAAAAGCGCAACAAGAGACGGTGAAAATCTGCCCTCAGGTATCTCTTTATAAAGTTTTTAGAGTTATTGTAAAAATGCCATTGTCTTGGATTTGGATTGGATTGATGGATTTTTACAGAAACGAGAACTGAGTTATCAAAGCCCACCAAAATACTTTGAGGTTTACACAAAAAGCCCAGAGTTGGACTTGAATCTGGAACTTTCCAAGGAGCAAGAGCACGAAGGCTCAGTCGTGTGGAGTTGTACGATTCAACGAGGTTTGAACATTCAGTTTCTGTCATTTTAATACATTCTTGAGTCACTGAATCCCTGTGACATATGTTTCTTTCAGATGACTACACTGGAGGATCTCTGGGTAATTCTTACTACTTTACTCTTTAAGGCAGAGTATTAGTCCTGTTTAAGATGACACAGTTGGTCGAGGCTCCTGCATGCGGCTGAAGCTGAAAAGTACAGCATTGTGACCTCTGGAGCGCCTTGACCGACTGTGCCATCTTAAACAGACGATTAGGAGTGGACCGACAGAGTGCTGACCCGTAGTGTTTACCGAATGTGGAAGATGCCGATTTGAATATAAGATAGCTGGAGCCAATTACCTTTATATGGGCATTTGTTCTCATGGGATTAGCGACACATCAGGGGAGACGTGTTGCTAATGTGATTGCTAAGGCAAGATGGAGTTTCCCCATATAATGAATGCAACTGGTTCAAAATAAATTGATTTACAAAATAAAAACCAGGATCGTGGAGCACAAAATAATAGTATTTTAGGCCAAAATGAGTGAGACAAACAATTACTGAGCTAGAGGAGTTCACTTGTCAATTTAAGTTAGTAGGAGCTAGAGGGAGCAAAACTCTATCCATGAGCACTTCTCTATTGGGCATCATTGAGCTTGAGGGTTAGCATTGTCCAGCTATACAGGCTAAATTTTGGACCCAGGAAACTGGACCGGTAAAGGCTTACGGAGCTCAAGTCTGATCAAATTCTGCCATTTAAAACAATATGATACATTTATTTGGATCTCCATTAACTGCTCCAATAGTCAGTATCAATATTGTATTTTTTTTATTTCACAATATACCTTAAAAAAAATCAGAATGTGTAGATATTTCATTAATGCTCATTTCTGTTTTCAGCCGCTCCCCAAACACAGGGTAAGATGATTTGTGTAAATTGGGGAGAACTGTGAAGGATTTTAGTGACTCTTCCTCTTCTGTTCAAAGGAATTCATTTTGTTGACAGGTTTGAGAAGAATCTTATTCGGAGAGTGACCAACGTCAGTCCAATCCTGGATGATCTTAAACATGAAGGAGTAATCAGTGACGAAGCCTACGATAAGATAAGACATCTGTCCACTACTCAGGATAAGATGAGGGAACTCTTCAGAGGGCCTCTCAGGTCCAGTGGAGACCGAGGCAAAGACATCTTCTACAGAAGTCTCAGGGACAACGAGCGGCTTTTGTGTGAAGAGCTTGAGGAGTTGTGCTTTGATAATCGCAAACAAATGTCATGATCCTCCTGACTGTAATAATAAAGTTCTGCAACTTGCAATTGATTATATTTGTGGTGTGAAAAGCTTGAGTGAATCTACAGAAATAAAGTTAGTTTTTAGTTTTGCTTTATACAAAATACAATACTTAAAAGTGCTGTTTCATTTTGTATGGGTTCTTTTTATTATGTATTTCTGTAGTCAACCACCCTCCTAGAAGGAAATGGTTTACAGCTACAGATAGATTATGTCAACATGGATATGAAGTTGTTAATGGATAGATACTTTATTGATCCACGTAGGAGAAATTCAGGCGTCGAGTAGCAGCAAAAATAAAATTGATTCTAAAAAGTTAATAATATTGTTGATTACTATAGTTTCTTGTTCAAATTGATTGATTATTAATTAAGGGCTGCAACAAATCGTTTGTTTAAATATTTGTAACTAATGCACTTATCTATGAATGTTTTGTTTAACCTTTTTGACTCAGATAACTCTATAATGATAAAGGAAGGAAGCAGTTGGGGGTTTCTTCTGAGATAAACTGATCGACCAGTAGGTGGCGGAAAAAGCACGTACCTTGAGTCCACCAAGAAGAAGAACTACATCCGGGCTCTTCTTGTATTTGTTATGAGTGCACCTCTCACCTTCCTTATGCATTAACACCGGGTTTAAAGGTAACACACTTTACATCAGCACTCACCAAAGTACTACGGCCTGAGATCACCCACAAATGCAGTAGAATGTGCAAAGTATTAGTGAATTGTTTGTTACTTGTTACACCTTATGACAATGTAACTCAGACTTATTTTGACTCATTTGTGCATCTACATTTCTGCATGTCAGTCACTGCATATTTGAACCCACAGTGCTTATGCCTTATTGCTTAAATATTCTTTCTCTTGGGGGTTCTGTCTCATATGCGAGGGTATTATATGTGTGGACTGCACAGAATCATAACTGTATTCTTGTTTATTCATTCTGTGTTTTGTGTCTTGAATGAAGGTTGGCATAAAATACCCGCCTGCTTCATCCAACCCCTTTACAAACCTGTATTAGTGTGAAGATATGGGAAATCAAACTATTTGTATGTTTTTATTCACTAAACTCATTCCAGGGGCTCTCTAACTATACATAAAGTTAATTTCTATTTTCAAATGTGTCGTGGAGCAGAAAGGTCAATTCAAACTACAATGTATTTCTGAATGGTTTAGAGGTGCACTATGTATTTATTTTTCTGATTGGAGTCTTTATTTTACTATGGTCGTTTTACCAATGCATATATATATATCTATTTTTTTTTTCTTTTTAGCCGCACGTCGGCCATGACCTGCACTCTCCACCTAAACGTCTACCACGGCCGACTCCTGCTCGTCTCAACTCAACATTCGTTGCCTTTCCGATGGCTGAGCACCGACCCACGGATCAGCCACAGCCTCCGGGAGAGCTACAGACTCCTGGAGCTGCCCGACCAGGCCGAGAGCAGCCCAGCACAGGTCAAAGAAGCATACCTACGCCTCGCCAAGCGCTACCACCCCGACTCCGGCTCCCCCACTGCTGACCCGGTGCTATTCTCCAGAGTGGAAGAGGCATACCGTGCCGTGCTGTCACATCAGAGCAAAAAACAGCACCCGCACCAAGGAACAGAGACCCAGGACGAGGATAAATCCAAAGGCACGGCTCTTCCACATAGACAATACCTGAGCTTTGACGGTTTGGGGTTTGGGACGCCAAGTCAGCGCGAACGCCAGTACAGACAGATCCGCGTGGACAGAGCAACGGAAGAGGTTCTCAACTACCGGCAAAGAGAGCACGAGAAAGCGGCGGCAGAAGAAGGCGCGTTGGTGGAGCGGGACATGCGTCAGCGAAGTCGGAAAATCAAAATCACGCAAGCAGTGGAGCGGCTAGTGGAGGACCTCATTCAAGAGTCGATGGCACGTGGAGATTTTAGGAATTTAAGCGGAGCAGGGAAACCGCTCAATAAATTTCAGCACAATCCGTACGCTGATCCCATGACGCATAACCTCAATCGTATCCTCATTGACAATGGTTACCAGCCCGCGTGGGTCGTCACACAGAGGGATATTCGAGAAATGTCAAGCCATATGCGTAACAGATTGTTGGAAGCGAGGATCGGGTTTGGAGACTCCATGACGTGTGAGGAGAAGCAGGCGTGGGAGGAGCTGTGTGAGTCTGTGGGAGAGGAGGTGGTGAAGCTGAATAAACTGGTGGATAATTACAATCTTATAGTTCCTATGCTCAAGATGCAAATGGTGCACTTCAGTGTGGCACGAGAGAAGGAGCGTGCGGAGAAATCTGCACGACAGCTGCGACTGGAGCGGCAGCAGGAGAAGGGACGGGATCAACAGAGGAGGATAGAAGAGAGGAAGAGAGCGAATGCACAGGACGCTCAAAAACAAACTAGTGATAGACCTGGATTTATGAAATGGATGCAGAGGTTTCTCAAATGATCTGTTTTTATTCTAATGGATTGTGCAATGTAATAAATAACATATGCAAAATATTGATGTATTTCAGTAGGTAAGGCAGATGTATTTGTATAGCACAGTTCATACACAAGGCAAGTCAGAGTGCAAGATAGAAACAATCAATTTAAATGTGATTTTAATAAGAGGCCTTCAAATCACATTCTGAAAAGTTAAGATACAATTTTTCAGTTGTATGCATAGCTAAACAGAACTGTTTTAAAACATTGTCAAGGCCTGTCTCACATTTTCAGTAAGACTGTTCCAGATTTGTCATGTCATGTTATTTTCTTCCCCTTTATTAGTCCATTAGGGAGTAGCAGAGGGAGCTACCACCCAACACTCATAGCACCAGTCCCTGCTGATCCTCCTGCGAGTGGTGGGTCCACGGGAAGATGGTGCTGCTCCGTCATCGAAGACATGGCCTTGGTGTTTCAGCGGAGGAAGATTTTAGCTGCTTAAATCTAAAACGCTGTTTAGTTCTGAGAGTCCTCCTTGGTTCATATGGCACTAACATGTCACAGATGGACTTTGGTGCGAGGCCATGGAGAGACTTGTAAGAAAGAGAGCTGATTTAAAGTGTATTCTCTGAGCCCTTAACTGGACTCGGCTCTCAGACATTTTCTTGACATTACATCATACTTGAAGGAAAATCTTCTTCTGAAATAAAATAGCATAGATTGTTGGAAATATTATATGATGATGTAACGTATGCATTCAATTGTTGGTTGTTTCTGTGAAATGGACTGAATCAATATTGATTGTAGATGAATAAGTTGCTATGTAACATGAGTTCAAAATAAATGCAGATATGTGATGTTTTTCTCAATTTTATATATTCTCAAAGGTGTATGACAAATTACGTGCTTGTACCAGTTACCAAGGGAACAAAGATACTCTGCGCGGACAGGAAACTGATGTTTTCTAGAGAAGTCTCACTTTTGTTTTCCCCTTATATTTTAGCATAACAAAAACATTTAGCTTATTGCTTTAGCATTTAAGAACGTGTTGTATTTTTAAACAAACTTATAAATGAATGAATTATATCTTTAAACTTGAAGACATGACACACATGGATGCACTACATTTGATAAGATGACAAGAGACTTCAGGACAACTCCAAGACAAAGACAAAGAGCGACATCTAGTGGCATTAATGTGAATTACAATAATGAGAAGTCCAGACGGTTTCCCTGTAGCACTATGAATACTTATTTACCTACAGATAAATGCAATATAATACCAACAGTTTTCAATCAATCCATGGATTTCTATTTCTGTTTAAATGGTGCAGAGTAGACCTTCTTCAGTATTATTGTAATAATACTGCACTGCACAGAGGAAGATTCTACTCCTTCGTTCGTCCAAACGAGAACAGGCGAAGCTCCAGGTTCAGTTTCCATTTTCACAGCTGCTGTTAAAATGCAGAATGTCACTCCCGTATTCGTCCCGGAAACCGGATTCGTCCGGAAGTTCAGTTTGATCCTTTTTTTTAACAGATAATATCTTTAAATGTAAAACAATGGCTCATTGGACAATTTTGGAAAATATAATTACTCAATTCAGCCCAAAATGTTTGAACAATGTTACAATAGAAAAACAAGTGCTCGAGAGTTTCTTCCTGTGTTTGACAGAATGTACAGTTTTTATCAACATCTGCAAACTTTGAGACGACAGAGTTGATGTTGACATTAACTCACGCACCCTGCTCACGCACACGGCAGGTGTGTACATCGTTTTTCAACCTTTGTATGAACGCAGAGAAATTTGCATTAGGAGCCTGGTCGTTTCTGTTTGTATGTTGTTTTTTATTGGAGTAATTTTGTGGGGGACCTCAATTGGAGAATAATTTGGACAATTCCAAACACATTTTTTATAACTAATAAGGTAATGAAAAATAATGAAAAAAGTAGATTTATCATTTATCATATTTATAAAGACGTTTCTTTAAAATGGGAAAATGTGATCATTTGTTTTTTTAGAAGGCAAAAAAGGAGGTATTTTTTATTATAAATGTAATGATTATACAGGCCAAATATTTCATTCTTAAATGTAAATAAAATATAGAAAGCAGAAGCCTGACTTTAGACATTTCTACAATGATTTTCTGATGTATATCAAATTAATAAGTGGCATAATTAACAAAAAAGCTGTAAGGAGTATTAACATTTGTACTGCGTACAATGTATTTGAATGTACATGATTTTGTTTTTCACTTTAACCCTCTGGTTTTCTGATTGTTCATTTGTATGCATGTTGTATACCTGCACTTTTGAAGAAATAAAATAAAAAATTGGACTTTGTAAATTGTTGATTTTGCACTTTACTTATATTTTTAATATATCTGTGATTGTATCAAGACTTTGTTTCATTCATTTGTCTGAACACGTGCAGAAAAGGGTCCAAAAGTTACGGTTTACTACCATATACTTATGTACTTTTACTACATACATTATATTTGTCAGTAAATCCGTAGAACCTTGATAAATGTATTAACAAGGATGGAGACATTTGATAAATACAAAAAGGTTTTATTTTAGTCAAAATAAATGTTTAGGCATATGACAAGCGACGCATCAGATAGCCCTCCTCTGCACCACTGCTACACAGGCTGCTGCTGCTGCAGGTATGTCCCATTCTGTCACAGGTCTCTCTGTGGTTCACAGATTGTACAGAGAAAAGCCGGTCAGCACCATTGACTTCACATGTTCAGTGTCCGAGTCATTCCTTTAACACTGGCTAAAGAATTTTCAACAACCACTCACGCTGTGCTGAATTTTCTATTAAATACTTGCTGTTGGTCTGTCCCTCTGTGTCCTGAAAAGGTTTTAGGAGCCAGTTCTGCAGGGGTTAAGCAGAGTCCCCTCGGAGGTAATAACCAGCTGTCACCGATTTTACAATAAATCTATGCACCGCACCAATGTTACTAGTTACGCGTCGTGCGCAAATGACGTGGTCTGACAACGCTGAAGAGATACTAGGAGGTACTATTTTTGATGGAAAAGCACCCGAACTCGGCCGTGCAGTGCCGTGACGTACTGTTACTGTGGAAAAGCGGCAAAAGTCACGTCGGGACCAGGCGTCATTCCCTGAGCTAAAGGTAGGCGCGGATGGACCCGTCATCTCTGGACGCCAGGCGAGCACTTTTGCAACCAGGCGTGGCACAGAGAGGTTGAGAGGGCCCCGGAGTGGCATCAGAGTCTGACATGGCAGGATCGGACAGAAGCAGCAGAGCGTAAGTTGAAAGCAAACTGATACTGAATACAACTGTGTTTAGAGCTTCAGGATGCGCTGCTTGTCAGGAAGTGGCTGCCTTTTAAACTGCCCGCTTTGCTGTCAGTGGGTTGGCAGGAGGCTGGCCGGCAGTGTGATTGGTTGGCCTGGAAGGGGGGAGTTGCACTCGGTCTTTCAGTCTTAATTTGCGCTCACGCTTCATATTTACCCATCTGAGTTTACAGTCAGGGGGATCATGACATTTTTTTGCGATTATCGAAGCACAAGGATCATATCTTCAACTTGTCAAGATCCTTACACAAAAACGGCTCTTTGTCCCTGAGAATTCTGTAGAAGATGTCTTTGCCTCGGTCTCCACTGGACCTGAGAGGCCCTCTGAAGAGTTCCCTCATCTTATCCTGAGGAGTGGACTGATGTCTTATCGTATCGTAGGCTTCGTCACTGATCACTCCTTCACTTTTAAGACGATCCAGGATTGGTGCGACGTTGCTCACTCTCTGAATAAGATGACTCTCAAACTTTTCGACAAAATAAGTTCCTTTTGGATAAAAAAGAAGAAGAGTCACTAAAATCCTTCACAGTTCTCCCCAATTTACACAAATCATCTTACCCTGTGTTTGGGGAGCGGCTGAAAACAGAAATGAGCAATAATGAAAGATCTACACATTCAGAATTTTTGGTTTATTGTGAAATAAAAAAAACACAATATTGATACTGACTATTGGAGCAGTTAATGGAGATCCAAATAAATGTATCATATTGTTTTAAATGGCAGAATTTCCTCAGACTTGAGCTCCGTAAGCCTTTACCGGTCCACTCTCCTGGGTCCAAATAGCTGGACAATGCTAACCCTCTAGCTCAATGATGCCCAATAGAGAAGTGCTCATGGATAAAGTTTTGCTCACTGTAGCTCCTACTGACTTACATTGAAAAGTTAACTCCTCTAGCTCAGTAATTGTTTGTTGCACTCATTTTTATTATTTAGTGCTCTATGATCCTGGTGTTTTTATTTTGATACTGTCTTTTTAGAACCAGATGCGTTAATTTGTGGGGAAAAACCATCGTGCCTTAGCAACCACATTAGCAACACGTCTGCCCCTGATGTGTCGCTAATCCCATCATAACAAATGCCCATATAAAGGTAATTGGCTCCAGCTATCTTATATTCAAATCAGCATCTTCCACATTCGGTAAACACTACGGGTCAGCACTCAGTCAGTCCACTCCTAATCGTCTGTTTAAGATGGCACAGTCGGTCAAGGCGCTCCAGAGGTCACAATGCTGTACTTTTCAGCTTCAGCCGCATGCAGGAGCCTCGACCAACTGTGTCATCTTAAACAGGACTAATACTCTGCCTTAAAGAGTAAAGTAGTAAGAATTACCCAGAGATCCTCCAGTGTAGTCATCTGAAAGAAACACATGTCACAGGGATTCAGTGACTCAAGAATGTATTAAAATGACAGAAACTGAATGTTCAAACCTCGTCGAATCGTACAACTCCACACGACTGAGCCTTCGTGCTCTTGCTCCTTGGAAAGTTCCAGATTCAAGTCAAACTCTGGGTTTTCTGTGTACACCTCAAAGTAGCTTTGTGGGCTTTGATACCTCAGTTTTAATTTCTGTAAAAATCCATCAATCCAATCCAAATCCAAGACAATGGCATTTTTACAATAACTCTAAAAACTTTATAAAGAGATACCTGAGGGCAGATTTCAGCAGTCTCTTGTTTCGCTTTTAGCACAAACTGGGTCTTCAATTTTAGAGACTCATCTGGGTCAGGTTTTGGGATAATGCTGTTTCCATGTTCTTTTTCTTCTCTTTTCAACGACTTAAAAGCACAACAGGTTAGGCTACATATTTCACAACTTAACACTAGTTTTTTAAAATGTCACTAGACATTTAAAATGTCTTAAATCCTAATTAAAAACCCTGCCACATTTTTTCCGAGTTTTGGAATAACTAATAGCAAAAGATAAAAAAGATAATCACAAACACACACCTCTATGAGCCCAGGATCACGTGGGATGATGTACACATGGAGAGTCAAAGATGTTTTGGTCGTTTTGTAAATCAAAAGGCTGCAGAAGACTTTCACTTTAAGCCCCAGTCTGATCAGCGCTGCTCTGGGGGAGAATATTGGCTCCTTTAGCTTCACATGAGTCGATGTCACCGTTGTTGCTTCTTCCACAGTATCTCTACGATCCTCAACGTGTAACACTCTAAACTCCTCTGCTAAATCAGGGTCATCTGAACACAAAACGATCTGTTAAGAACAAGACTTTCTTCATCTGTACAAAGGTGTCACTCACCCACGCAGACCCAGTGCCGTAGATAGACCTCGTCCAGTCTGCCCGAGGTGACTGTGACGTCTATGAGAGGACCAGCGGGCATGTACTGCAGCGCCTGCACACGCTCCATGTGTTCCTCCCACAAACCAAACTTGAAATCAAAACTGACTTTTTCCTCACAGCTCCAGCGCAGACCAGACACACTGCACTCATATTGACCCATGTCCGACTGTAGGCTGAAGAGGAGAATACAGTTTCTATCACGCTGTGCACATGAACAAACATGAACTGTCATTTTACCTGTATATAGACTGATTCTTTATTTCTTTCACTTTCGGCTCAAGTTTGGTCCAGGAGTCCTGTATGAATATTAATTTATATTATTTTGCTTTTGATGATGTACACCATATATATTACCTTAGCACTAGTACAAGAGTCAGGCTCCACACTTGGTCCAACTCCTTTGGAAAAAGTAAACATAAGGTGAAAAAGAGTTCATGTGTAGAGTCTAGAGCTGTTACGAGTTAGTCGCAGCTAATCACAACTAATCGATTATTGAAATGGTTGTTAACTAATGTATTAATCAAAGTCATCTCTCTGAGGATGATCTCTAGGGGAAACGTCACTGGAGCTGTTTGGATCAAATGTAGAAAAATCCCATAATTACAGAGCTTTCAGGATCCAACTACTTTTAATCAAGAGAATAATCAACCAATTAATTAATTATAAAATTAGTTGTTAATTACAGCTTGAGTCCTGACCCAAGACCACTTCATGAGAATATGGCCATGATTTTTACAATGTAGTGTGACCTTGGACTGTTCGTTCACCTTTGGAGCTGAAAGTCGACTCATCCAGTCTTCCTTCATCCTTCAGAACTGTTTGGATTATGTCGTCACAACATGACTCTCCGTAAACTGACAAACGAGCCAGTGATTTGAAAAGATGTTCTCTGAGATTTTTCACTGTTGCCACCTGGAAACGTTCAGGAAATAATATCATATCTGTAGTGTATTAGCACATAAAGTACAATGACGTTCAGATGAAATGCCAGACTCACTTGTTTCATCATCTCTGGGAACAAGAATAACAAATAATAAATAATGAGATCAGGTCAATTGAAGGTGGATTTTATCTTGAACCTACGAGTGAGAGTGGAGCTCATCATGGATTGTATCTTTTGTGCTGCATGACTACATTTCATTTCCATTAAACCCCAATACCAAACCCCTGTTTGTCGGGCTGTAGCGTGGACCAGTACTTTCAGGTCCACATGTGGCTGTGGATTGAAGAGGGTCTGCAGCACAAACAGTTTCTTGAATTGTTGGAGCTCTTCAGGTCTCAGCAGACTCAGCGTTTCACCAAACAGCTCTGTAACAGCTGCCACTGTCGCCACCTACAGGTCAAAAGAAGAAGGGGTCAGACTGTGGAAGGATAATGAGTAAAAGAGATAAATAAACTTGAGATAAAGTCACAGAAAAGGTTTGTCCAGTGGTTTAATGTGTGTGCATAGTTGTAGATGTTCATGATAGTTTTCCCGGTGACGATTAGAGCTATGAGGAAGATTTTTCAGTTTGTCCTAATTTAAATAAGTCAAAGCCACAGTATGCAACTTAGAACCAAAAATATATGTATACATGTGCCTATGTATGTTCTTGGGTTTCATTTGACGTCAGGGCAGTGGCGCGAATAAAAAACGTAGGACAGGACGTGACGTTTCCTGGCTGTGCAGTCGGCCAGGTATATACCATGGATCTATTATAATAAGTAGGTTTATACACTGAGGTATAGTAGAAGAAGCGCTGTCAAAATGTCATCTTTTTGTGCAGTGTACGCTTGTAGCAACCGCACAAATAGAGAGAAAGACAAGAGTTTGTTCATGTTCCAACTGTAGTCTCATATAAAGGAGGACACTTTGAAAAAATCATTCGAATGAGGCGGGCGAGGTGGTTCAAGGCTTTCCCAGATAAGCGCCCCCTTTTTGGGAAATATTTTTTAGTGGTCCCTTAGAATTGAGTGCCCCAGATTAAGATTAAGATTACAAGACGTGCACCGCACAGGAGGACGTCACATGGTTTTCAATGGGAGCAAACCCCACCTCTGCTCATTCGTCTGCTCATTCGTCCCCTACTGGCCAGTTTAATTAAACCCAATTTCCACTATAAGGTTAAAAAAGACTGAAATTAACAACAAATATTGTAAAATTGCAGCATAATATTAATGTTAGTATGAAAACAATAATCTAATGTTAAAATCACAGTGACATTATTGTAATCTGCCAAACAAAAGATCTTTGTTGAAATTATTTTAATAACATGTGACTATGATCAAATTTACTCGTAAAAACATCACAGTAATAACAACAGTAAAAAACTGTATGACTCATATCAAAATCATTTAGTTAAAGTGACATTAAAAAAAATTTAAATATATATTTTCTTAAGGTTCATTTTTTAATGAGAAATTGAGAGAAAGTAATTTATCGATTGTGACAAGAATTACTAATGAATCTTTTGAATTTAAATTGTACTGCGCTGCCACATAATTTAATGATCCCTGATAACAATTTTGATAGTTCATCTATCAGTAGCTCAGATGGTAGAACACTGGATCTTAATTCTGAAGTTATTAAGTAACATTCTCCTGAGTTCTTCTCTCTTTAACAACATTTCTCAGTGTGGACAATTAGTGCTTTTGTAACTACAACATCTTCAAACGTAGTGAATCCAGTCATTTTTGGCATATTCCTCTCGATCATGGTTAGTAAAAGTAAAATGGCCTATATTTCATTTGATCTAATGAGTTTAATCAAAATGTTTAATCATGACATTACACGTGAAACACAAATAAATGTAAATTTAATAAAGTTTCTTTAAAAAACCACGCAGCCTTAGTTAGAAGAACAAGTGCAGCTACAAGCTAACAAATGTGAAAAATCAAGAACCTAACTATATTCAACACTGCAGTCTGCTACAACTACACAGATGTAAAAATGCCTCTCACCTGTTGCCGATGATGCTGAGGATTTTGTTCAGGTTAATGCTGCGAGCCTGAGGCTGCACGCGCAAAGGCTCATGGGGGTTCAAGTTGAGTCTCCATTATTTACTTTACTCTTGTATGACGTATGAGTAGTCACTATAGACTCTCTCTAATAGTCACTCATCTTGAAGCGCAGCCAGGATATAGTGGTAGTAATGAGGTAGTGTTACGAGTCAGCAATCATCGTAGCGCAAAGTCACAGTGTTCTAAATCAGATGAAATCACACAAAAAATCGTAAAATCTATCAAAATTTGCTGGTAATTTGATATAATAATCTTTTGTTTTACCTCTAAAGTTTCTTCCTGTAAATTGATTCATATATTTATATTTTTGTTGCAGTGTATTATAGAGCACTGAAAACTCCTGGATGATTATTGTTTCTGTTGTGCTCTTAGTGAAGCGACTCATCTTTCTGAATCTTTATTACTTAAAACCTTGATTTCTTTTGACGTTTTGTCTGGTTATTTTAATTCACCAGCTGTTACAACACCAGGAAATTTTCTATACAGCGACCTGGCTTCACACAAACATTTCTCTACATAATTATTTCTGTTATTGATTTTGAGTCTATCTCTTGTAACATTTTGGGATCATATTTTGTCTTAAAATAAAAAGAGGTAAGCTGCATATTAGCATCTTGTACATATTTCAAGACGTATACAGAGAGACAGTAGTGTAATGCTTGTAGAATAAACATCCACTCACTTTGTTGATAAGTGAAGACCACTAAAGATCTTTAGAATATTCTGAAAAATAAACAATTACAGATAGAACCAAACAAACACAAGAACAGACCCACACAACTTACCACATGCTTCAGAGGTCAGCTGTGGCAGCAGATCCTTTCTCCCGATTGACTCGAGTAAATTGTTGGAGATGGCTAATGGTGCATTCAGACCAAATGGCGACGCTTGTGACAAATTGTGGCAAACGCTGTCACAGAGCATCTTTGGAGGTTGACACAGGCGCGTCGATAAGGGTCAGTGTGATCAGAAGTGGGCGTGTCGGGTAGTAACGTCACTACCCGACACGCCTACTACCTACTACTCGACACGCTTCCGTACTGCAGGCAGCAGACAAGAACCAGCCAATGAAAAACCATCTATTGCTGACAACCAGAACCACAAGGGAGAGCGAACTATCTAAATGACGTCACTAAGACACGCCCCCGCCGCCTGTCAACTCCCGCCCACATGTTTCGGACAAACACTGCCGAAATGAATCAAATACCACTTGTTCCACCATCAAACCATCAGGGATCATAGTATAGACCAATTAAAACGTTGGCTTGAATGTCGTGGTCTGTAACTGGTAGAACATTTGAGTTGATAAAAAGGTAATGGTGAGGATTATGCAAACATTATCTTGTCATTTAAATTGCAATGCTAGCGCCTTCTTTGTTTATTTTGCTGTGATTAACTTTCATTTATCAAGTTTTTTTGCACTATCCACTTTGTAATAAGTTTGATCATTAGTTAGCTACTGTCAGCTGATATTATAATAGATCCATGGGGTCACAACGGGCTACGCCACTACTGTCTCTGAGAGAGAAACTATCGGAGCCACACTAAATAAACGCAAAAGACAATCAATCGACACATGTAAATGTTAATGGGAGAATATATTATACACACATTCGTAACACAAGTGCACGGAGGTTTTCAGAATTATCTGTTATGGTTTTCATGACAAAAATACTTTTTTAATGCGACTAAAGCGATCGCTTTTTTGAAGTAGGTTAGCTATCCTCACTTTTACTCGCCTACCACGGGAAAACCTTTGGGAACTATTTTCTTTGCAGTCATTAAATAAACCTTTCGGCATTAATAAAAGTGAATGAAGTTGTTTTTTGTGTGTTCAGTTGGTACAAAGTGTATAATAAGCGGACCCCGACGCTCTTCGTCTGTACTTATTTTCCGATAGTCACTAAGTTGAAAAAATCCCTCATCTTTCTTCAGGTGTGAGAATTGTAAACTTTCTGGATTAGGACAAACAATGCTTACATGGATTGATGGGGTAAATGGTATAAAGAGAAAGTTTGTGCTAACTACATTCAGAAGAGCTCAGACGGACCTGATACAGCGGTCCAGACGGTCCAGGTCCAGTCCCAGCTAAACGTAGCTAGGACTGGATCTGGATACTCAGACCAGCTTCACAGACGAAGTGTTTTGAACAAATATGAG